AATTCCTGGAAGCCCCCTGGCCCCCCACAACAGCTAGACACGCTTCGTTTGCTCTTGCTTTCTACTAATCTTGCAGCATGGGCTACGCTACTAATCCAAAAGCGATCAAGTTTTTGAAGTAGATTCTTAATCCAAACTATTATATTTTCGATGTATTTGGTAAGGGAAGGACGACAAAGGGAAATGAGTTTTTAAAACATTTACTTTGATCCAGCCCTCATCAACTGCTTCAGTAAGCAAAGATATTTTTATCGGCAAATTTACTACAACCAGTGACAACACATTAAGCTTTCAGACTTTTTGGCGATCAATTCTTTTATGCGAAATGGTTCAGTGGACGTTAAAACCAAGAAGCAGTTGATAAAGCAAGATGCCGTTAGGGGAAATTTGTATAAAAAAGCCAGAGTCCAGAAAAGTTGTTAACCTTCCTCCAGACAAAAACATCGCAGAAAGCAAACCTTCCTCACAAAACAATAGAAAGTGGGCGTGGCTTGGGTGTGTCATCTGAACTTCTATTGTTTTTCGTGGACCTTCTCCCGATCAGTGGCCGTGTGACCGTAATGTTTTCCTGACTCTGAGTTTTGTACCATTTTAGTAATTAAAACGAGGACCTAACATGAAATTAGAAGTGCCAAGCACTTTGATTTTGCTTATGACACCCTTCGCAACAATTTCAAGTTTTCATCCCTCAATTCAGATTAAGGCGTCAACTAGAAGCTGACTGTAGGGCGGACCGGGTCTTAAGGTCCACCCACTGAATCACAAATGCTTCCAACGCTTTTTTGGCGTTATCTTTAGAATTTTTCCGGGTGCCAAATATTTTCACTTAATTTGTACCTATGGTTCTTTACTAAAGACTGCTTATTGTAATAACACAGCCTAAAATAGGTTTACTAAAGGTAGCTACCATCCAGAACTGGTTATGTTGAAGATTACGACAGAGCAAAAAGACTAAACACGAAAAATTGTCTGATATATTGACAAAGATAAAAGCCTTGACTTATGTTTATCTTCTTAAAATTGAATAGTGTGAGGAAACAAAAAGATCTCCAAATTCTGCATAAATCCAGTTGAGTCATTGTGCATATTAACATAAAAGTTACAAAGTATTTCTAAAAATAAAACCAAAATTTAACAGAAGGAAAAATTTTACATGTCTACAATTGATATACGAAAAACAAAAAATACCATTCAGAATAGAATATTTCATAAAATTTAGGAATAGGAATGCAATGTTTCTCTCTTAATCCACAAGTGTTCTGGAAAAGTTTTCAAAATAAAAGCATAAAAGCTTCAGCATACAGCCAATACCCTGGCTTTATTTGTTTTAAATGAAACTAATCTTCTTGGCATATTTAACAGTAATAACGCACTGGAATATTACATTTACTGGCTAAATATTGTCATGAAATATAATAAACTGCACTACTACGATCCCGAAAAACTTTCTTCTGAGTAAACTTGAAGAAATGAAACACCATTTTCTAAACCTTTTTTCCAATAAGGATGGCAGTTTGTTCAGCAAGGTGATTTTAATCATAGGTTGTTTGTGAAGAATTAAGATCTTCTTCTGTGTCAGTGGTGTATTAGTTCAGCTTGTAAGCATTTCTCATCATTAGGTCAAAGTACATATCATTGTCTATGGAGGCACTCACACCAGAATAATAATTTATGAATTCATCAAGTGTTATCTAAAATGGAAGAAATATCAGCTTTGTTATCTAATGGCTGTCAAGTTTTTTTTCATTTCAGTGCAAGCCATGTGATTATAAGGAAGTAATTTTCATCAAACCTGATCTTCAGCATTGCATTATGATTCTGTTTCAATGTTTCTAACATTGCTATTCGAGCATCAAAACATAAATTAATTGATTCATAAATTCCTTTGGATTGAAATGTTGATGGTTCTATTGGTCTAAAAGTAATTTTTTCAGTCAGTTATATTAGAGACCTATAGTCAATCTCTAACAAGGGAAGGTATGGAGAAGCTAAAGCATGGAGAGATGAGAGCAAGAATGTTCCCTACGAGTCTTGGAAGTAGGAAGAGGGTAAAGAGTTCAAAGATATACAAGCTCTGTTAAAGAAGGGTGGGCAACACAAAACTTTGATCTGCATATCTTTCAAGCCAAAGCAGTATTATAAAGTCTTAAAAAAATAAGCAATGCTATCAAACTTTTGTGTCAATCTAAAAGACTTACTGTGCCATCCTTATCATCTGGTGTGTCAAAGGAATCCAAAAATTTTCTGAAACACTGATCCTCTGTCCATTCCCCGTTTTTATATTTTGGATGTTGTTTAACATTATAAACCCTAGAAAATAAATCTTGGAATTATACAACAGAAACATAAATTTTGTTAATAATCAGTACAAAGAAGGATTTGCAGTTTTTCATGGGCTACTACACCTCATAAGAACAAATTCAGCCTAAGGGAAAACATATTACTTTAATTTTACTCTATTGTAAAGTAAAATTTTTCGCCCAAAAAGGCAGGATTTCCTTTTAAAGGATTTTATTTTTAAAAAAAGCATATTTCATCTGTATAAAGTCTCAATACCTTTACACTATTTGTATTGCTAGGTATTATCAATCTTCAAATGTCTATAATAGCTAAAAATATTATTTAACATACCCTCGCAAGTCATCTATTGTTATTAATCCATCCCCTGTTTTATCAAGTTTGTTGAATGCTAATTGAATTATGTTCTTCCTTCCTTTGCTCATTGGTGGCTGATGGATGGAAAATGCTACATTATTAATTTTAACATTATCCAAAAATATCAATCAAAGAAATCAATAAAAAGATGGTTAATACAATCATAATAATTTGTAGATGGTACAATTTCTTTCTATTCAACAACATAAATTATAAAAATATTACTAATTGTTTTAAAGGAACAGAAGATTATGTTATTCAGGTAGGGTACTCAAATGAATAAATATGTTGTCAAGGAAACTGAGAAAAAACTTATGAGGGTTATCGAGCTCATTTCCCTATTCTAGATATAATCAGGCCTCTTCATAAAGATTTTAATAGGTACATGGTTGATCGCATGCCTCGAAACAGAATTTTTCATTGAGGCATGCAATTCATAACTTCCGGTTTAAAATGCATGGACAAGCAGTAATATCAGCACTATTGATGTTACAGCTTTCCCGTGCAATTTTTTCAGCTTTGAGGTAGCAAAGTATTATAAAGCAGCAAAGTAAGTATGTTATAAAATCGAGAATAAATACTGCTGCAAATAAATACATTTAAATATGTTTATCAAACTGTGTCACTGTTGTGAGGGGTTTTATTAGTGCTTCAACATTATGAGCTCTTCAATGTTTTATCAAACATACATATAAATAAAAAGAAAGAAATGGTTAGTATACTAACCCTTAGTGAAATGAGAAACTCATCAAAATCCAGAGCTCCACTATGGTCTTTATCAAATGCATCAAACATTTCTTTTACTTCCTGAAAAAAACATTTTCTGAGTAAATGAACTGTGAATCAGGCAATAAAAATTTAATACAAGTAAACAGCAGACACAATCAATGCTTCATTTTTTTCAGAATTTTTAAGATTTTTCTAAATTTAAAATCGCTAGTAAGTTATCAGAATCATCTAATGAGTCATTGCTTGAGAGCCCAAAATTCTTTGGATTTTGTTTTACACTGTAAAGGTGAAAGAATATGGAAAGCTATATATCCCCTGGTAGGAGGGAAGGCTCTACTCAACCCAAAAATTTGTCCAGGGTATGTGCTTTATAGAAAAATAATCTGTCAATCTGTACCATATTTCCTTTATTACTGTGTACTGAATGGGAAGCAATAAAATGTGTAGCCACCCCCTCCCCCCTGAAAAATGAATTTTGTTCCAACAGCACTGACAACTATCTACTAAGTACTATATCAGCACTCATCTCAGAGGTAGCTTTTTCAAGTTTACAACACCAGTTCATTTTGAGCCAAGTTAGCAAGTTCCTTTTCACGATGGTCTATTGAGCATTCTTTGGTTCCTTATGCTGACTGCCACTGCGGTGATCTGTTATTCTTTTGGCACATATCATTTAGGCACAAGTTATTGCATGTTATTTTCAAGGCCATAATGAGGCTTTTCATCACAATTTACTGTAAGCTATTTGGAACAGTTTTATAATCAATAATGCAATGTATTGTTGCCACAACAAAAAGCCAATCAAGAAAAAGGCACAACATTTCAATGCACTAACTAGATTCATGATTAACAAGCTAAAACAAATGATATCAATTAAAATGGCTGTTTGTCTTTGCAAAACTATTTCATAAAGCAAATGAAAGTCATGCTTTTCTTCTGTAGTTACTTATAACTGTGATTTTAGTAGCTTGTATATTTTCAAAGGATTTTGTAAAGTAGAAGTCAAAAAGGTTACTGAATTGAGCTAATTTACAGCTGCCTTCATTAGCGAAATAACTATCCCAAGGAATTGATTTTTTGTGGTTTAAAAAGTGTTGGAAATGATTTCGTTTGCATATTCCATTGATGTTATTGAACTGATAAATCTTCCAATCAGATTAAAGCTTTGGCTTCCAATTCTTACTACGTCGAAAGAATACAAACCTTTGGTTCTAAGATCAAACCGTATTCTCGGAGCCCCTTTTTGAATTCATTTAAGTCGAGTCTTCTGTTTCCATCGTCGTCCATAATTCGAAAAACTCTGCAAAGGGAATCAGAGCTTCATTTAACAAACAACAAAGTTATTTTCTCTCCATAAATTTAAACAACAACAAAATCATATGCATTTTCAACTTATTTCATATTCTAACCGTGCAAGTTTGGCGAAAGGAGCATCGAAACACAAAGCATTGAGCATCACTCAAGCATAAGAAGACGTATGTTTACAATGCCCGCGACAAGGCCCTCTCCCTCTCGTTTATCTTTGAGAATAATTAACAAACGTTGTGATACCTTCCCAAGCCTTTGATTCCCCCGGCTCCTCGTGAAAGGCAAGCAAGTCTTAGTTTCTCGACAGGACAAGTAGCTTTGTCCTTCATTTGGTTAGCTTTGCGCTTCATTTCTGCGTTTGACCTCGCTGTGGCCGCCATTTTGTTAGATTGTTGAAGAAACCTTTACGCAGCCAAATTCAAGATTTGCACAACAATGGATGAAAACAAAGATGAATCGTCATGGAAACAAACAGGGCCCATGGCGTACCAGCCCGATGGAAACAACCAGGACCACTTTTCTTTTGGCCCCTTGTCCCTTGCCCATCAGTTGAATGTAAAATTTTTCTGTGAATCATTTCTCAACACAAATGGAAATGGAAAAAAGAATATTATTGAGGATATGAAACGTTTTATACAAATTTTAGGAGAAATTTTCTTACAATTGATGGTGTTAAATTTTGGAACTCTCTGCTGCTAGATTAGAAAAAAGCCAGACATGAAACATCTTTCAAAAGTAAAATGAAAATTACCTTTTGGAAAACGTTAAGTTATTTCTTTCGTAGAACCTCAAACTTATTATACTTGAATCAAATAATCATACTTTCTACAAACCCTCTTTTCATTTCCTTGTACTGTATTTGGTTTATTTTTGAGTTACTTCATGGTTACTTAAAGCTAAAATTCGATCTTGGCCGATTCTTTCCTTTCACGTCTGTGCTTATTCTCACTGTTAATATTAAAACCAAAATATTTTTAATGTTTAGATACTGTTCATTCACGTCATCTGAGCACATGTTTTTGATAGTGTCTTGAGATTTCTCCATTTGTTCATCAGTTAGTTTAGTAAAAATTGACATTTTAGTTGAGTGACGTTATTCGTAATTAGCTTGACATTTTGCTAAAATAAATCTTTGAGTTTGAGTAGCAGCACAGCTTCCTTTTAAATGTGAATATTTTCTTGTTTCCTTGTTTGATGTGGCTTAGATCTTAATTGGTGCCATAGTGTCTAGCTCTCTCGCAAGGAAACTTTCACCATTCAAGAAATGACAGATCAAATACGGTGTCTCTAGCATTTCCAACTCTCAGCTTCTGAGATAACATAGTCAATGGAGATAAAAAGGCACTATTAATGTTTCGCAAATTATAGCCTATCAAGACAAAATAATAAAACTAATATAGTTTGACTAAAACCCTAGATTTACCTCCCCTAGACTGGCCTCGTTTTCCGAAACAAAACATCCATTGACAAGAGCTTATGTACGGTTTCTAGCCAGATTTTTTGCCTTGTGTTCTAACGTTCAAACAAAGCTAGATAGAAAGCAAGTTTTAACCAAAGAAATTAAACTTATTTTTCAGTCCTTAGTCCCAATGGACGTTGTTACTTGTATGAGTGAAGCATCTATGTCAATATGCTTCTAAAAGACGAATATTAACTTAATAGTCCAAAAGTAACTTGCACTTCACGAATAAAACTGACAAAAGACCAGTATAGATCACCATTCTTTTTCGTAACAATTTGAATCCAAAACTATCATTTTCAATAAATGCTGCCTAATTTTGTCTAAAATAACAGAAGATGAAGGACGTTTTTGTAAACATTTGCAGTTTACCATAGACGAAATCTATGCATAGTACAAATATCGACTGCTTGCATCTATAAAATGCTTTGGAATTTTTCTCTCTTTCATTAGCTTGATACTGGGCCAAAAGTTTTGGTGATTACCAGACAACTCTTTTGAGAAAGGTAAATCCTTATTATGTTTTATGATCTTTCCCTAGATAACAAATGTACAAAAGGTTCGTGCTACCTATAAGAAATTAGCCAAAAGAAACAACAAGAAACAATTAGAAATAACAAATATTTAGCTGCAAAAACTTTTTAAAGATTGAATGATCAGAAAGCTTTTTCTATATATGACATGTTATTACTCTTACGGGTTTGGCTAGAAGATTTTTCAGTTTGCTCATCCTATTTAAATCTTTTTGTTAGAACACTTCTAATCCCACTTGATCTTACCAACAGTTAGAAGAATCGCACCTTAAAAATCGCTACACGAAGATAAATCAATAGCATAACATTTTAGTGAGCAAATTTTCTACATGATTTCCTGGCTTGTGAAGAAAAAGCAACAAATTTACCTGCCGAAGCTTAAAAACGCTTGACAACCTCTGGACAATATTTTCATGCGCAAGGCTTCAACGGGACAGGAAAAGTCGTTTTTGCCCATCTTTGCTTTCAAGTTCTGGCGCATTACAAAATCTGTTCTGCTTGTGTGGGGCATCTTCACTCGGACTTCAGACAATTTCTTCGACACAAAATTCTAACACCGAAATGAGTCCCTAATCTGCAATCCAGTCGATTTGTTTGTTGAAAATTCCAATGGTGACAATATAAAAGGCAAGCGATGCATAATTTATGCGCAATGTTCCGTGTTTTGAATTGTTTTCTCATATGTGGTTAGTTTGCGATTGATATTGTATATATTCATCACTGACAGGTCCTTCTTTGTCACTTGTCGTTTCTTTGATAAGTATGTTCTCTTATCGGCCTGTGCAGTAAATAATTAACACCGTAGAGAGGTGACAGCGAGGGCGACTGTGTGGGAACAGTTGAGATTTTGTTGCTTTTAAAATACAATTATTTTCTTATTAAAAATGACCGATATAGCACCCAGGTAGCTTATACTAAACCTCTTTAAATGAACTGGAGATGAACTACAATTATAGAACCAGTTTTGAAAAGTTACTTTGATATCCTTTTGTTTCTATATTACTTCGCTTTTTAATGTTCTCAAACGCATATTACTTCAGGGTTCCCGGAAAACTTATCCCTTTAGACTGTCGAAAGCGGAAAGGAAAGACTACCGCCTTGAAAGGGCTTGGCAAAATTTCAATGTTATTGCGTTTGCGTTTCTTTTAAAGCCAGCTAACCAACAGCACTACAGAGACGGCGCCAGGAAATTTGGCCGGGGGGAGGGGGGAGGGAGGATGGGGCTAAGGACAAATTATATCGACATATTAGGATCCACCATGGTTGGGTCCGATGTGCAAGAAAGTTTCTGAAATTCAGCCTTTTGGAATGGCTAAAAATGCATCTTCCAGACTAAAATTTAGCATAATTCTTTACCGCTCAGAATTGAAAATTCGATGATTCTCAGAAAATCATTGATCATCGATTTTTAAGGAAAATTTGGGAAGGGGAGAGGTGTCATTCTAAAACTCTAGTGACAGACGTTGGAGAAAGAAAGAAAGGGCGCCCTTGGGTTCATGTGAGAAATAGGAAGCTGTTGAATTGATTAAGAGAATTTTAGTTCCTGAACAGTAAGCAATGTATATCTTTCTGTTTGCGTCGAGAATTTTCCGCAGCCAATGTTTACACATCCAAAATTTAGACATAGCAATGATACAGAATATTATCTACTGAATTGATGCAAATAATAGACAAATAATAGAAATATACCTTTATAAGTTAGTAAATAGATCAAGGAAAACCAAACAGTATATAAACATTTTGTTTTTTTTTAATTTCATACTCTATGTTAAAAAATGCTGAAAATACGGTCAAGAATGTTTACCTTTGAAAAAGTGGGGGCGCCATGCCTGCACTAGTTGTCAATTGAACCCTATTCATTTGTGATTTGCAGTTGACGCTTCTCCCGAAAAACTGGAGGAAAATTGGACACAAAGTACGCTTTTACTTAAGAAGGGCCTGCTTTTTGGCTTCAGTACTAACAAGAAGTATTGAAATCAGTAAGGCTTAGGGGGGAGGGGGGAGGGAGGGATATCATACGTAACTAGCGAAGCAACTAGCATTGCCTAATTCTTTACTGTTTGTGAGAAGTGAAGGTGCCAAAATTACCTAATTCCTTTTTTCACAGAACCGATTTTCCCTGAAATTTTCTTCATTAAACAATGTGCCCCAATGTGAATACATATGAATACATTATATCAAGGTTCTTGCCGCCCTGTGAGGTCAATTTTCAGCTCACTAGGCGGAAAAAGTGCTTCATTGGGTGGCATTGTTTCGCCTAGTTTAAAAGTTAAAAAGGCCCCTTCCCACCCTTTGCCAAGAACCTAAGATATGTTTTGAAAGTTTTTAAATCAATGGTATTTTTACGCGTCTCATAGTTTTCATTAGCCCCCACCCTGGTATAGCCCCCCCCTGAATAAATCACCACCTGAAAGCAAATTTTAATGGGCAGAGTTTTTGCCCAAAAATATAAACTGTGATGATCTGCGGAGGAGCAAGTCACATGGTGTATGTTTGTATCTGCTCTTTGAACTTGAGCGAGTGCCAAAAAGATGATGGCAATTTGGCAAAGAAAAGGGGCAGATTAAAGGACAAGCACAGCACGATGAAAGAATAATATTCACTGTTTTGATTTGTTGATAATTCTGCAGAGATTAAAGCAAGTAAAGACCTTTTTTGACTTGCTTCTTTTGGCAACTCTCGGATATGGTCTTGTCACATTTTGTCATCATCACTTACGGTCAAAAGAAATGTCGCCCTAGTTAGAAAGATCTTTGGCGCAGAGCGTTTAGGCTCGTAATAATTTGGATTCATATTTATACTGAAGCACATCAGAAAATGTTATAACACTGTAATACACAGAATTAAAACCTGCTCAGAACTTTAAGGTCATAATATTAATCTGTCATTGCCCACCTTGTGGACAAAAGACTTCAAAGTTCAAGTGCCCACTTAAAATGTACACTACTTGGTTTTGCCGACTCAAAACCTTGAAATTATAAACGCCTGAGGTCAAAGGCAAAATTGACTTACTTTCCATGGGCATTGTATGGAGGGGGAAGCTGGTCTAGATTTCAATGGTGCAGTTTTATTTTTGACGAGAGCTCAGGGGCAAGAGGTCACTTGTGATAATAGTGTAATTTGAGTGTTTGCCAAATTTCCCAGTGATTCTTGACTTTATCTATGTTTTTCTTTTGGTGTTAATCCATTTTATATAAATTTTTTTCTCATGGAATTTCTATGATTAAAAGATGAAACTAAGCTTTCCTACAGCTACCATCAGTGGCTGTTATTCAAATCCCTATAGGTTTGAATATTGCACATTGCACAAGGACCTTATGTCTTATGGGCCTAGAAAAGGGGCAGATAAAGAGTAAAATGTATTAAAGTATTGCAAGAACTGGCTGCAATAATTATTCTGAAATGCATTTTGTATGGAAAATGCAGCAGCAACTCCACACACAAGATACTTTCTAGAAATTGTTACTGCATAGGTGGTTAAAATGGGTGTGTCACAAACAGAATAGGCATCGCCATAAATAACATTCAGGAGTTGTAATATATAATAAATTTGTTAAATTAGCATTCTTTACAAAAATAAAGATAACCAAAAGCAATATATTCACATAAAACAGTTTTGTAAGCTTTATGTTTATAAATTTTATTAGTCATTATATAACTGTCTTGCAATAAAAGAAAACCCTTCTCTAATTGACAGCTTTTGGTATTGAGAATCAGGAAAAAGCTTTTGCTTTTTTGTAAATTAAGGAAAAGCCTTCGTAGCAGGCTGCACCATTGACTCAAATGGAATGCTTGCAGTGAAAATCGTATAAAATTAAATTTGTAAAATATTTGTTTATCATGGTTTATGCTTGATGACATTTCTTGACCAAGAGATTTTAAGATATCAGCATTTGTATATAAAGCTTTTAAGAAATGTTTTTAGACCTGAGCTGCTAATGTTGCTCCTAAAAGAAATTGAGATCAAACATTTTTCCTATCAAGTTACCAACCATAGCCAACCTGCATATCAAAGTGCACCCTTCTATAGAATTTCTGGTTAGCTCTAGGTAATTAGTCAATCTTGTAGACCATAAAGTAATTTTCCATAGAGCAACAGAAAGAGCTTAACCTTGGAATGACTGCTGGCTTCAAATTCTCCAGAGCATGGCATTGGTCAATGGCAAAATCCTGACCATGAATCTGATTATGACTGCTAACAAAAATCTCTTTGATAACAAATTTCAGAGAATTTTCTTCTGTGGATTACTTTTCGTGGTTTCACTCAGGCTTGTATCCCAGGAAAGACCTTTTCTTCGGTCTCACTTTCACAATAGATAAAGCATTTTATACTTTTGGTCATTAATAAAAATATGCTTGCTCTCATTAAATAACGTTGGTTAATGTAAGGAAGAAATTTTTTTATTCTAGTACATTAACAATTCTTCTTCCTTTTTTTCTAGAAACCATGAGCGAAAAACAACCCTTACTAAAAGGGGATTCCTCAACTCCAAGGGAACCATTTTTAGTCAATTCTTTAAACAGGTCAGCAGAAGATTTAAATGAACAGAGTTTAAATGATCTTGCTCAGCATGCTCGATACCGGTACTACACAAAGCTTTATCCAAGACAAGAACTGGTATGAATCTAATTTTTGTTTGAAATTTAATTACAATGCCATTAGGCTCATGTACAAAATGTTTTCCACCACCCAAACAACCCGATTCAGGGCGGCCGGTCCGGACACAGATTTTAACAAGGGGCAGGCAAAATTGATAAAGAGGGCACAAACATTTATGTCGTAACATTGATTATTGCCAAAAATAGTACTGCTTTCGTGGTAATTTAGAAATTTAAGAAAAAATAAGACACACTGCATATAGAAATAGAACAATCTTTGCTTGAAGGCAGATATGGCTATCTACTCGATTCAGGGGCTACATGTATTTGGACACACTTAATTGTATAACTCCTCATGGGCATTGAGGTTTCTAGTCCATGTATGATTTCTATTGTCAAATGATTGCAAGTAACCTAGCAAAAGCAAATGGAATGCGTTGGTATGGACATGTCCTGAGAAGACAAGAAGATGATGTGCTAAGAAAGGCGCTAACTTTTCAAGTTGACAGTCAGAGAAAGAGAGGAAGACCCAGGAAGACTTGGAAAGAACATGTGGAAGAAGAAATGAAGAAATATGATTTGCAAAATGAAGATTCTAAACATCATGAGAAGGAGTGAAACCAATTACTTCAGGGCATATGTAAATCCGGTCACCCGCTTTTAAGTGGACAAAACTGCATCAAAACTGAATCAATGATGTTAATGATCCGTTGTACTTATTTTTGTTTTTAATTTTTTTGTAAGTGGGGTTGGCCCCTGTTAAGCAGCGGGCACATGTCCTTCCCCCATACTTGTGACAGTGCATTTTGCTTGATAATTATTCACATTAATTAAAACATACCAAAGGAAAAATAAATCCAGATTGATGCAATCATACATACAAATGTATTTAATACTTACAAGTCAAACCAAAAATGTATTGTACAGAACTGAAAAGAATTATTGAATTTTCAGGCTCAATTTTCAGGATTTCAGTCTCTGCCTATTTCAAACTCAGCAAATTCACAGGTTCTATCTCTTCCGAAACTAAGCATGACAAAAAACAAACATCTAAATTTTTTATCTTCAGGATGATTTAACATACACTGCCTAGCAGTACACTTAACATATTTAATCTCACAAAATTTCCCATGCACAATCCGTTTTATTATAATTCCCCCTGGTATTCAACTTGGTTTCCTAATTTCTCTGTCTTCTCACTTGTTTAGTTCATTAACTGCTTTTCTTATTTTCCACATAATCTTGGTTTGTTCATCAGTTCTCAAAATCAGTTCTTAAATGCCAGGACTATATTTTATATAATGTTCTTTAGTTGAGAATGGGAAACATTTAATGCAAAATGTTTTATTGTCTTAATTGTCTTTTCTTAATTAAATATGTCACTAGCATGGATGTATTTTCAAAATAGGATTGGTATTGTCACTAGCATGGACCTGTAAATTTGTTGTGCAATGGCATGCCTTTATTGAAGTTATGATGACGTATTTTTCATGATGCCAATGCGATGAAAGTCATTAATACTAAAATTTTCACCATAGCACTTCTCATCAAGTTTTTTGCTTGTTGTAATGATATTATTCTTCACTACCTCATTTTGTTAGATATTGGTGAAACAATGTTTTTTGAAGTGCCAACCAAGTCAATCGTTGATGAATCAGAACGGTTTAATTTGAAAGCAATTGTTAAAATTTCATTTTCATTCTTTTAAGATAATACCTGATCATGTGCTGCCACCATATCTCTTCCTGCCAATTTTGCCATCAATTGGTTACAAACAAAGCAGCTTGATAACAATGTAAGTAGTTTGCTTCTTGTGCGAGAAAAATACCTTGAGATGCTATATCAAGCACAATATTTGAGCAGTTGAAAACCCCAGTGAATGGTGTTGGCTAGTCAGAAAGACCAGATCAACCCTGCAAGCAGCATCTTGTTGTTCAGGACTCACTTTATTACCCCGCATTAAAGCCCATAGGCCTATTTGCGAATTTTTTTCTATTTTGGAATTTTTAATTTGAAAAACACACTAAAATCCCCCCTAAAATCAGCAAATAGGACCCAAAAATAAGTTGATGATATGGAGCGAAATTTCGCTGTATTGCTGTTGTTCAGAATAAACTCTTTTTCAGTAGCCGAAAAGACAATAAGAGGGGGGATGGTGCAACAATGTCCTATACAAATAAGTTCTTGAGGAAAATGCATATCTTAAAAATGCAGATGTAAAGTCAAAGATGTCACTGGAAAAGAAAAAAAAATACTTGATCTTTTTTAAGTTCTTTTTTCGTAGGTATCTTTTAACATATTCATCCCGAAATGAGAATTCTCTCGTTTAAAGGTCCATTGCGCCTTAACCCGCGGGGCAATTCACACTTGGAAAATGCGTACGAGATTTCAACCAAAACAAAAGGATATCTATGGATTTTTTTATTTTTTTTAGGATTTTACTATAGGTGTACGAGATTTCCATATAGTGATTTGCCCCTCTCCTATAACCGGGTAAAAGCCCATGGGTCTTTATACAGGGCTGGCTTTATGCGGAGAAACAGGGTATTTGATAAAGATTTTATATTTGAAATGCTACAGAAGGGTATTTAAAACCAAACTCTATATTTCATTACGGACAATGCAACACTTTACAATGTTTTAATCTATGCACATGTATTTCACCTCCACAGCCACTGTCTAGAAACACTTTAAATTGTAAGAAGTCAATTAATTATACCTTTTCCAATTGAAATATCCCGATCTTTGATAAATTTGTTTTTATTTAAGCTCTTTATTAGTTTTCAGTGTATTATTTTTTCAGATTTGCGATTTGGAATACGATGATGGGTACGTCACTACTGAGTTTGCCTTGGGCCATTGGACAGGTGAGGCTCTCTTCAAATATAACGCAACTGAATTAGAATTGAGACATTTTCTTTTGAACTGAACAAAAGCCAGATGGGATCTCAAGGTAACCAAACAATACATACAGCAACCAAAAATTCAGAAACTTTACTGTGTAAATAATTCATTTGATTGCATCTGAAAGAGAAAATTTGATAAACAAAAAGTTGAATGATGGCATCATTGAATTGACTTGATTGTATCATCAGATGTTCTCTATTCTTCAAATCCAACAAAAGAAATTAAGGACACTCGATTGGCTCTGTTTTAACCAATCAGTGTTCTCCATTTTATTACAAGTTACAGATTTTAAAATATGGCATGGCATTGAAAGAGACGGCCATTTTATTGTGAGCGAAATTAACACCAATGGGACTGGTGTCAAACTCCATGCCATATTAGATAACGCTGAAATTTTTGAGTTTGCTTTGAAGAACGACTTTGGTTTCTGGCTCTCTTTCAGAGCGGATTTGTCCTTGGCATGGCCTTGATTATCACCATGGGTCTCATCTGCTTCTACACCTGCTATCTTATCTTGAAAAGTGCCAATTACATGGGTGGGTATTACATTTTTACAGCGATATCGAATAAATATGTTGATTTATGAACACAGTTTCAATAGGTGTTCTTGCCACTTCAGTCTGTAGGATGCACTGTGTTTGAGTAGACCATACATTCAGCAGTTCCATTGAAGCCTTAAGATGAAGGACCGTAAGCTCGAGATAAGATCGTAAAGACTAACAAATTGCGAGCTCTGTGATAAAGGTTACTTGTGTAAAATTAGGTGAAGGCTTTGTGCCTAGAACTTGTAAAGGATGCTAGTAAAATTGTCGCAGTATTAGTACACCTTTAAGAGTATGGCAATTGTCATCGTGCTTAGGAACATTCCTCGATTACGTTTATTCGACACAACGTCATTATTCAATCGACACGCGGGAGCTCACTGCAATCGATACTCTTAGTTTGGGTCGTGGGAATGGCTTATGCACCCATTTCAAAGTCATACAAGATCTTACCTGAAATTTAAAGGTACTAAAGCGCTGAACGGATTAAAATAGACATTTTAAGAATGTAGTATAGATTTAATACGACTCAAATTTGATTAAGAATTAAGAATAAGAATAAAAAGAAAGAAGAAGATTAAGAATAAAAAGAACGGTCGAATCTAATCAAAAATATTTTTCTCAGATTTCTCGCGATTGATTCCCTCAGTTTTCAACCCTAAACAAGTTCCCTGTCAAAAGTCTTTAGAATGCCATGCTGCCTAAAGTTTATTTGTTACACATTGTGCCCTACTAACATTTCCACATCTTTTCCTTATAGATAAGTCAAAGTTCGAGGCCCTTGAATTTACTGATGTCTGTGAACATTATCTTGGTAAGAGTGGGAAAATATGCAGCATTGTGTCCTCTCTGGTGGCGCTTCTTGGATCAACAACAGTCTACCTCGTTCTGTTGTCAAACTTTTTATTCAGCGTTGGACAGTTTATCCACGGTAGGTTAGTTCAAGAAATTTCCAGTTGTAACGAAGACTTAGGCCGTGTTTGCTTAGGGTAGGGCAGATTTGTCACACTCATTCACTGAAAGAACCAACAGCAAAACACAAAGCGTGGGTGACAGTCAATTGCTAGACATAATGGACATTTCTGAAGATGATTAAAATGACTTTGCTGTAAACGGAACTTAGAAACTGGATATAGCCTGTTTACTTCATATATTCGCAATAAAAATTTGATAGTAACGAATACAATACGGAACACCGGAAACATAGCAGACTAAAGGCCCATTTCCACCTCGTCCGGATTTCGAATTTCGCATCCGAACGTTTGCATCCGAATCTGACGCTTTCGGAAGTTTTGTTTTTCATCCGAATTCGCATTGCAAATCAAACATTCCCGAATATGATTATCCAATCATGCGAAACGACCCATCAAAGATGGCGAACGTCAAATCTGCTGAAACTTCAAAAATTGATTTGGGGTAACAGCTTAGTTTTTACGCTAATCGAGCAAGTCTACTTCAAGATCCTAGGAGTAATTGAACACAGAAATTCTCCCCCAGATAGAGATAAAGTTTGATAATTTCTATTAGTCTTCGAAATTTTTGTGACATTTTGCTCCCCGGCTACATGGGAAGCTTCTTCCGCCGAATCGAATCGCATTTATCTCTAATGCTTGGTTTTCATTTTTTCATTTTAATTTCTTTATACACAAAAATCCCTTCAGCTTACAACTAAATACCAAGTAAGAAAATAAATGTTGTGTTTCATCTAACAGGTTCTCAAGGTTTTGCCACTCAGCATTCAATACTTTTATTCTAATGTCAACTTGCTTCAAATATTTATATCTTTTTCTAATCAAAATCATTGCTTTGAAGGACTTAAAGCATTTTGACAAGCTAGCAATGTCCGTTTTTAATAAAAAGATTGATAAAAAGACAACTAATCAATCGCATCTTTCCTCTCTCACGCTACTTTCAATCCAGTTCTGGATATCAGCTTAGGTTCGTTTCATCTGCTTAAATTATATCAGAATAGCCAACAGAAGTAATAGCCACCAGCGTAATTTATCCACGATAATATTTTTTAAAAGAACTGTCTTCCAAAATTTTTCAGGGAGCATTCCCCGTAACCTTGTGAAGATTCCCTTGCCTTGCCATTAATCTTTTGTCCTGTCCCGGGGCCCATAAATCCTCTCCGCAGCCCTGTTGATACCCTGGCGAAAAGTCTCAGTAATTGAATCTTAGATTATTTGCCTTGTAGATCAAAGTAATTCGGTCCCAGGCAACGTCACAAGTCTTGCAAACTACTCTGGATCGAGTTTATCTGAAGGTATTTCAACATCTTCTTAATATGTTCTCATTAAACCCTGGTTAACCGTAACAACCAAGAGCAGGGCGATTTTTCTTTTGTTTAAGTACATTTTGGAAATTATTGGGGAGGGTCTAAAGCCCGCTTATCACCCCCTGCTTCTGCTTGTGACAAATGTGACAATCGTTGTTTTGTCTTGCCGCAGTCTTTGTTTTGGTCGTCTAGCAGTGTTTCAGCTTCGCGTAATGTTTTGATATGAAACAAATGTTACTTTTTACGACAATAAAAAAATGCGTCACCTTAATTAAACATTTCGTTCATTAACCCGAAATGGGAGTTTTTAACCAACCCTTTTTTTGCTAGTGTTGTGTGCTGCTGACGAAAGCCCAAAGCACACTAAACCGACTTCGCTGACGTCCTCTGGAAGTGATGCGTTTTATAACATATGGCAGCAAGACCTCACTGTGCCGTTCTATCTGCTTGTCGTGTTGCTCCCGCTATCATCGTTCAAGTCGCCCACCTTTTTCACAAAGTTTAATGCTTTGGGTAAACGGCATTATCTTTTAAGTACATGATTATATACAATAAATACGCATATTTTGGTACATATCAATATTTGTAGATTTTAGTCAAATTTTAGGGTTCACTTCATCGATTTAATTTGAAACACGTTGTTATAATGATATATTGATAAACAATTTCTACAAATTTAAACCATGCTTTTCAATAACACACTGCTATTTTGATTCTCTCATGATAATTCTACTGAAGCTTTTCCTCGCGATAATTTTCTTGATTTAAGAAAGAAGCAATTTTAATTTTGAAATACTTTTTCTTAGCTGTAGGTGCAACATTTCCAAGGAAACTTCCATCCTCGGTTATCTGATGAAATATGTTTGTCTTTAAAAACAATGCTTGAAAAGTGCAGAGGATTAATTAATTTTTTTTAGGAAGATTAAAGAAATAGCCACTTGGTTATAATTTGTTCTGTTTCTCTTTCAGGGACATTGTCCGTCTTTTACATAATCGTATTTGTTTGTGTGAAATCGGCCACTTGGGGTCCCAATCTGCATTTTGAGGACAGTCTAACTGAGGAAAGAACTCCACGTAATATGAATTCAACTGTCCATTCACTCTTTGTCATCCTTCTCAACTTTTATTTTTGCAATTATTCAGCCATAAAGTTTATTGCAATGGCTATTTTCTTTTTGTGTAAATTTTAATCTTTGATTTAATGTATTTGTCAGACAAACATGGAAAATTTTTAGTTTTGGCGCAATACTCTGAAACGTACTAAAAACCTTTTATGCGTTTTGTAAACATATTTGCAACCTATCGGATTAATCTGGAGCATGTACTGGATTAATCTTTACTCAGATATTAACACCTAAAACGGTCTTTATAGAGACCATTTTCTTGTTTAAATTTTTGTTGATATCGTATTTCTTCTGTTTGCCGTAACCCAATAATCATTAATTTTCTTAGTTTATAACCTTCAATTTCCTGCCTTGACTGGAACATTGGGGCTGGCCTTCTATATTCACAATGCAATTTTGTCGATCATGAGAAACCAAGAAAAGCCTCAAAATAATGTAAGTGCACCAGACGCCAAACATGAGCCAATCTTTTGTCTTCATTCCTAATTATCAGTAATATAAACTGTTTGCTTTTCGATTTATTAAAATGATAACAATTTTTTGCGGTACAGAATTTGAAAATGGCTTTCGAAATCGTTTTTCTGATTGGCCTATTTCGATCCACAACTGGGTATATATTTTCCATCGAGTTCTTTCGGAACCTTATTCTGACGTTTTATGCTCTGAGGAGTGTCAGACCAAAAAGCTTTTAGTATGTCGTAAAATGTTTGCTTTTTTTGCTTTTTCAAAGCCATTTTAAAATGATAACAATGATTTATCGATAAAGTCATTTGATTTGTATTTTGTTTGTGCCAATTCCTAGAAGCTAAGAATACAGGCCACGTTTTCCCTTGCGATTCTCATGTGGATGGCCAAGCCCTTAGGCAACAAACTAAAATCTTTTGTCCAATTGCAGTACCTTCTCTATTATCCTGTTAAAATTCCAGCGCTGGTTACCAGTCGTTTGATTATATGCAGTCAATCACCTCCCAAAGTGCAGTCCTCTTTTGTCGACCTCCTACTGTTCAATCAATTTCTTTTTGTAGACACGTGACTTAACCATCGCTTACTCTCTCGCAACTGGAACTTATTTCTCAATTGGCTTCATATTTTATTCTTGTTTTCCTCTTGCCAAACTTTGCATTCAACAGGTTTGTTCGTGACCATCTTATCTTGTACATAGTTTATCTTGAATTTTCTAATTTTTAGCCTCGATATTCTTAATAACTTTCAATTTTGACTCTATTTACATTCTTAGATGATTCCTAAATGGAAACATGGGGAAATTACTCCTCTTAGGAATTGAAAGGAGAAAGTTCTTCCGAAGCCTCCAGGGCAACGCAGTTAAGAGACATTCAAAACTTATGATCTTCTTGATATGGTCTTACTGTTGTTTTACCATAAGTTTAAATTTTATTGAATTTTATGAATTATAAGAAGAACTTAGATGGTGTTGATAGTGTTGGAGCCTGGCTGTTATTCTTAAGTCTTCATATAATTTTAGCACTCTTGAGCCCGAATATTCAACACTTTGGTAATAAAATGTGTGTAATCTATCTAATCGATAAGATGGGGACAAAATGCGCTTTAGATTAATCTCGATTAATCTTAGCACATTGATGGATTGCTCCAAAACTAGGTTCTGAGCAAAATCAAGGAAATTCGTCTGGAGAATGGCTACCCCGAAGATGTCGTTTAGCATGTTTTAGGAAAAAAATTGCTTATTTATCGGCTGGGAAAAAGTTTTGTCTGGAAAAGTGCGTTGTATATTTAAAAATGCATTGAACGTTTCATCAAAAAATGAAGTACCAATTGAGAAGGCCAGAATTCAATGTTTTTCTATTGTGACGCCTCGTGTTGTCTTTAGTGCTGGTGATGCTCCACTCCATTAAAAAAGAATGCGTTCCTATCAATAAAAAAATTTAGTCGTTTGTGAATTTTCGCGTCAATGTCAAGTTCGGTATGTAGGACTTACTACTCAACGATTAGTCGATAGAATGAAACAACATATTCTAAAAGTTTATTTGCTATCTATATGCCGTGAATTTACAAGAATGTTTGCTTTTAAAATCGCAATAAATTCAAATAAATGCCTCATTACCTCTTTTATATTTTAATTAATTTTAGGTATTGCTGGATAATTTTGCATCAGGCGACGTCATGACGTTTTGTGCTCATGTTTGCTTGTTGTTTCAAATGATCACTGTATTTCCGCTGTTGATGTACATTTTGCGAGTGCAAATATTCACTTTGCTGTTTAGAAATGTCTACCCAAGGTAAGTTGTCAGGTCTTTTCATCTTCGTATTTAAAATCTCTCCTAAAAGCACGTGCTCGCGATCCATTCTAAAGAAAATTATGGAGTAATATTTTTTGTTTTTACGTCATTTTCGCCTGTAAAAATTCATCATAGTTAAAGGCTTTTTCGTGTTATTTTCATAAAAGACATTAAATAGTTTACACCTTAACAAGAACAAAAAAATCAGGAAATTTTCGCATTAGACACTTGTCTCCGAATAGAATTTCAAGATTTAAATTCAGCTGTAAAAATACAGTCTAGTCTTAATGGTAGAAAAAAATGTAAATAATTCGATGAAAAGTATTTATCTGGTAAAAGAAAAAAATTAATATGTCAACTCAGAGAAAAACTCAGAGGCGTGTACAAAAAATTAAGTCACCTTCCTCTGACTTTACCCTGATTAATTGCCAGAAATGATTTCATGATAGTCGAAAGGTTCCCCATAAAAGCTACTTAAAATTTGTCTACCTTCATGAATTTCTCATTTCAGTTTAATTCACGTTGTGGTTCTCAACTTCCTCGTGATCGGACTCGGCATCGTATTTGCAATTTTTTATCCGCATGTTGGCCACATTATAAGGTAGTAAAGTATTTACTTTGCTCTAGCAATGTCTCTAAAGATTTTGTATCTGTTTGTGTTCTTTATCACTCTCATTTATCTTTTCTGTTAAATTGACTGCCGTGCCGTGCTTTTATCAAATGCCTCATGACTGCCGTCTAGTTCAATTGTAAAATTGGCTAGGAAAATTTGCGGCTTTTTTCGCCAACTTACTCTATTTTTTGGCTGATTTGTAATTCAACTTTGGAAATAAATTTCAGTTTAAGTTATCAAGTATGCATAACTAGATTTATTGTATTCTTTCTTTTTTATTGAATGAAATACCACCTCTGGTTGAGATCAATGTCATGGCCCTCACAGGCTTTTGGCGCCTCGTAATCACATAGAGCGGAGACAGCCGTTGGTGCATCGGCCTAAGTCGCCCGTTTTAGTTTATAGATTGCGAATGCCATAGACGATATTGCAGTAATCAAACTACTAGTGAGCTTCAATTCCTATGCAAAGATTTCTTTTGAAATAATATTTAACTTTCAAATGTACAAAGCCGTTATTTAATTATTTAATTATATTAGTTTTTACCCATGATTCTTTGACGTACAACACGCTAAACTGTTCTGATGATGAAACATTTAGATAATCTTTACTTTTATCTTTTTTCAGGTATGTTGGTTCAACAAGTGGGCTTGCCTACATTTTTGCCCTTCCTTGCATCGTTTACATGCTGATAGAAAAAAGAAAGAACTCTTTGACCTGGCCAAAACTGATTATTCATTGTGGCTTGCTGTTCCTTGGCTTTTTAAACTTTGCCTCTCAATTTATGATAAAATGACATAATAATAGTAATCATAATTGATCGATTTGATCGGCTTGTTTTTGTAATTGTAAATGTTTATTGACCAGAAATTTAGTTTGGGGTAAATCCTTTCTACTCAGGGGTGTAGTGTTTTGAAGGAGCAAGGGGGCTCTTCCAGAAATGTCTCCAACAGAAATTGAAACTGGTCACTGACTAGGATCGATAGAATCTGGCAAGAAATAGAAGTTATTCTCGTTTGGGGTTACTCCTTTATCCCTCCCAGCACTACGCCCTTTTTAATGTATTCGGATTCATTCAGTTAGAAAAATGAAAATAGTGAAACATGTAAATTATAATAATTTTGAATGAAATGCTAAGTTATAGCACTCGCGCTGCTAATTGTGTTTTGAGCTTCTGATGGAAACTAACCGTTAATATTTTCGCTTGGAAAAGAGTTCAGCTTGTAAACATTGTTAAATATATCTTTTTCTATTTTCAAATAAAGGTTTTTATCAATATTGGCTGGATTATTTTTCCCTACTCATTATTAATATTTCTGCGTAGCATGTTTTGTGTAATTAGATACTTGTGAATGGTTATCAAAGAAAAGATTAAAGAGTTTGGAAGGTGTGGTTAGCCAGCTTTTCTGACGACAGGATGCCAAAAAACCATTCTCACGAAAAGCCAATTAGGTGTGAAATCATTGATAAGTTTTGTTACTGTTTTGAAAACTGAGTCTATATTATTTAGACTGCCCCTTATCGATGAATTCTTTAAAAAATGTATGAAGTTTAGAGGACAGACAACATAGATTGAACGAAATGACTTAAGCTTACATGTGCACCCTAATATGACAATCTTATCTCCCGGGTGGTCTAAGCGGTAGCTTTTAAGAGTTCCTGCAACCCTAATCTTAACATCCACGAACATTTTATATATTCAATTTTTTTTACACATTTAAACAAGTTACCAATTCAGTCTATGTTGTTTTACAATCTGCTAGATCTGCTAGATCAAAAGGTATTTGCATTTAGTCAATTAGATACTTTTTCCCAACTATGTCTATTTTTATTTTACTGATTATACCGAGGGAACTCTTTGATATCGTTGCCAGTCGTTTCCATTTCTCCGTACCATGATAATGGAATGATTTTAGGCCACTCGTTGTCATTTAAGATACAACGAGATCGTGTTAATGTTTATTTGATCACATGCATGAAAATCTGATAATCTAACGAGTAGATAGTGAAGTATTTTGGAGCATGATTGTTAAAAGATTTATTCAGCATATGTCGATGTTTATTTCGAAGTTATTTGTATAGGAAGCACTGCTATTGTGTAGACAGAAAAAGTGAGTTCGTTTCCAGAAGTAGACAGAAGGAGTTCATTCTCTTTTGGTAATAATTTCAATAGATAAACGGCATAGATTAGGCACCCTTTGCAGTCATGTACTCGCGTTTCTCATTCGGGTATTTTGATGATCAACTGGGTATATACATTTCCTGGCTTCGGAATTTTGATCTGTTTTTATACTTGCAGTTTGATCATGATATTTAACCGGCATTCCGCTTTCAACTAACTGAATTTTTAAACACTGCTCTGTAAAAATCATTTTGGCAAGAAGTATAATTGTAATTATTTAGCACAATATAAAGTCGTAGATATGGCTTGGAGCAGGGCTGTAGGGGGGCTCAGCCCCCTTCTACTTGTCGAAAGGGGGCTGCGCCCCTCTTTTTTTACTGGGAAATTCAAGAATATCATGGCTAATTTCTGCCAGGATCAAATCTTCATAAATTCTGGCAAATATTTACTACTATAAATTCTTTATTTTTAAGATTTTTCTACTCAAAAGGCAAGTAGACAATGGGAGATGATCTAACTCTAGAAAATATGAAACGTTGATTTAATAAAGAGAAGGCTCTATGCCCCCTCTACATTATTTGGCTCTACGATACTGGCTGGGAGAGTATTACATGGTTAATTTGTCGACCAATAGACTACACAGCATGACACATTATTTGCAGATGGTAACGTTTTTTAATTTGTTAATTTGTTTAGGTGAAATTGGACAAATTTCTGCAGCTCACCAGACAATATCAACGTCACAATAGTGCATCGTGGCCACAGTGGTTGAAGAGCCCTGGTCTAAAATACAATTACATTAAATTACACAGAAAGCTGGCAAGTTTCAAATTCGGAGAGCACACCAATCAACCCAATCCCACAACAACAAAAATTGAAAAGCTTTGTGATGCTGAAAATGTTTCTAACCCACAATTGCTGTCAAGGACCGAGATACAGGGTGGCCAGGGGGGCTTGGCCCCCCCCAGAAATTCTAGTATCATGAGAAAAACGCTTTTGTATTATTAATTAGTACTTTGAGAAATAGATAAGTGCTCTTTTTCTAGTTCAACTTTTACTCTCTATACAAGCAGACCCTATGAAATTCAAAGTTCATACTTATATGTTTAGTTCAAAATCACAGGTTTGTTTGTAATGTCTGGTTAAAGGACCATCTCTGTTCAGGTACCATTGATAATAGAATACTATAACAATTCCTTTATGTTAGTAGGTCCTCCTTTAGTGTACCTGTGTCTCTAACACGTTAACTCTGCAGGATAATTGTCAACATGTTTTACTGGGCCTTGCATGAACTAAGTTTTCTGGCTGCTGCTACTTATTTTGGCGGGAAATCACTACCCTTTCCAAATCATTGCTTAAATTGGCACCACGTCAAAGTTGGGAAAAGAAACTTCAAACTATTTTTTCGAAAACCAGCGAGAAAGAATTGCCTTTTCCAGCAAGTTATCTACTAATCAAGGTAGCAGTGGACTGAACGAATCCAGCAAGAGTCTGGGAAGTGGGAAGATTATTGCAGTTTCTGCACGCAACTCATCTTAGGCCTTGGCCCAGTGAACGAGAAAAAGTCAGAAAAATCATACTGGAGTTGGTGGTTACATGCAAGAAAAATCAAAACATAACGATACTCTCTCCTTCCCGGATATTGGAGAACGAGCGTATGAACCAGACACAGGTTGTGTTTTCCCAAAGTGTAACATTGCAGGTCACCAAAGGTCTTTTCAGCACTCCTCGTTTAAAAAATTTCAGTGGATTCATTATGATGGGCACAAAGATCTTGCCTATTGCCAAACCTGTGTAACTACTTGCAAAGAAAGAAAAATTAATGCTCCATATTCAGAACTGGCTTTCATAAAGACTGGTTTCAAGAACTGGAAAAAGGCTTTAGAAAATTTCAAAAGTCAAGTGCATGTCACAGGGATGCTACCCAAGTCATCCTCGCGCTTCCAAATCGGACAACTAATATTGCAGAATATTTAGAAAGATCATTGACTGCTGAGAAGCAAAAGAATCGCAGATTTTTTTTAAGACAGTGACAATGTTAAAAATGATGGGCAGACAAGGATTGCCTCTTCAAGGATTGACTGAAGAAGAATCAATTAAAATTAAGAGGTGAGGATGATCTAGAAATAAAGGAAAACATGACCAAAACTAGAAACAAGTATACCTGTTATCAGTTTCAAAATGAGATACTTGAACTGATGGCTTTGCAGATTCAGAGAGTGGTGACTTCTCATCCCATGACGCAACATTCATAACAACAATGATGGATGAAACAACTGATAAAGCTAACAAGGAGCAACGTGTTTTTTGCATGAGGTATGTTGATGATGAGTTGGCGGTGCATGAGGATTTTGTTGGATTGCATAGAATTCCAACAAGATGGACAGTGAATATACATTTAGCGCTATCATCGGTAATTACCAAGTTTTATTACAAGTATGGAAAGAGTCCCTTGATACCCTCAAGGACAGGGAGCAGATTATTTGTATTAAAGGCGTTCAGTCTCAGATGGACAGATTCAGCTTCTTGTTTGGAGTCATGCTATCCCAGAAAAAAATGAAACATTCTCACAACCTTAGGAAAACACTTAAGAAAGGGGATATCTCTGCAGCAGATGGGCAGGCAGTAGCAAGAATGGCTGCTAAAAAATTCGAAAGCATTCGGACAGAAGAGGGCTTCTATATTTTCTGGAGACTGGTAATGAAAGCGAAGTCTCAGTTTGACATCAGCAATCATGTGTTCCGCGGCCCAGAAAAAGACCTGTTCGTTATGAAGAAGGCTATGCAAGTGCTGAATTTCATACAAAAGCAGAAAGTTTTTACTGACGAATTAACTACCAAGCCTTAGACACATTTACATCTTCCATAAAAGAAAGATTTGACCAGGATGGCTACAAAAAGTATATTGAATTGGAGAACTTAATGATTGACGCTTGGAATGGCGACAACTTTGAAAAAGAATTCGAGTTGGTCTGTAAGTTTTACAAAGAAGATTTAGACAAAGTGTTGTTAGCTTTCATTTAATGATCTTACGAGCAAACAAACCTGCAGCAAAAACATCTTCTTTCAAAGAAGTATGGGAGCATTGCAAGAAAATGTCGAAGGATCAAAAATCGCTGTTAGCACAAGCTATAATAGTTCTGAAGCTGCTACTAGCAGTGCCTGCGACTAATGCTGTTTCTGAAAGGAGTTTTTCCGGACTACAGAGACAAAAACATGTCTACGTACAAATATGAAGCAGTCAAGATTGAATCATTTGATGACGGAAACACCAGAAAGTTTGGATTGAGGAAACAACAGAAAAATTGGATTTGATATCGGTGGCAAATGATTTTGTTTCTTTAAGTGAAAAAGGAGACTGTCATCTGGGTAAATTTTCACCCAGCGACTTGTGACATTCGTTTAAAGTTTGATATTTATGTATAATATAACTGTAGTAAATTATAATCTTATTCATTAGGACTTCAAGGGCATATTGTTCCGCAAAATCTGTTTCACTTAGCGAATGCCCTAGTTAACCAAAACTCCAGGTAAATGGGGCAAGGACGAGCATTTGCTATTAAAAACCTCCATTGAGTTAATTTTGGCAAAAATATCATTTGCATATTTCAAAGGAATTAATTCCCGTGAATATTGCGAAAGTTCCACTTATCGAGGTGCATCTATCGATTGTAACAATGTCTGGGTACTTATATTTTTTGTAAGAAATCACTTTTAAAAAAACATATTAACTTCAATAATAAGAACAAAGCATTTAAGAGACTTTTAGTCGTAGATCTTCTAGTAAAAAAATCTAATGGAATATCTTTATTTAAGATCTGGCAAGTCTAAGAAACTCTCAGTACAGTTATGTGGCTTTTTATAGAAAATAGCTGTATTTGCCACATATTTTGAAAAAAATTGTTGTTTGTTAAATATTTTTTTGTTGGAACCCGGAAGGGTAACTTATTAATCATCAATCTTTTTGTGGTTTTGTTGAAAGCTTATTGCATATTTAAGTGATATTAATGAGATTTATTAAGATTTTCGGTTATCAGATAAGGAATCCAGTTGTTGCTGCCTCAAATAGGATTCATCGAAGCTATTCTCATTTTAGATATATTGATCTATAGTTGATCATTTAACATCTCTAGCATAAAAAATTTCAATAACAAAACTTTTCTCATAACCAAATTAATTTGGTTTGGCACCGCTAGTGACAGCTATTGTTATATCTATTCATCAGGTATCCCCCGGACCGTCAATGGGTATTGTTGTGAAAGGGTATTTTCACATTCAGGTCAAATTTGCCGAAAAATAATCCTATCTTATTTGCCGACCAAGCATCCCTTGGAAATTTGCCGACCAAGCATCCCAAAAATGGCAAAACCTCTATGCTTTTGAAACATGATTTTTTCAAGGGGGTTTCGCACTCCTCACGGCCCCATCCATGCCGGTTCTGCTGCCCTCCCCCAAACAAAAAGTTTTATCTCGGTCCTTGATTGTTGTGACATTGACCAATCGGCCAGCCGCCTTCAGCAAATAATAGCCTCGACCAAAAAGAGGAAGTAGTAGCTCAGTATTTGACTTACAACAGCTGGTCAAAGCTGCTCTGACGGACAAAGTTTTGTGCTTTTGTCTCTGCTGTCGTTCTGTGTTCGAGACGCTACTGTAAGTTGCAGTTTTTGATTTTTTTGCTGTATCTCGATTTGTTCTATTTTGCCTTGCCACTCGAAAACGATGGCTTGTGCAATGTTGAGGCCGATGTAAATCAAACAGTCACGTTTTTGAACCCCGAGTTCCAAGTATTTTCCTATGATCACAGCAGTCACAATGTCAGCTGTGTCGCACAGTTAAAGTTTCGCCTCAGATTAAGCCCTTCTGAGAATTCTATATTTATGAAAAGCAATTCTGCTTCCTCAAATGTTTTCAACCGGCAATGTTGCTCTGGTGTTGATGGAAGCATGCAGTATTGTACAGTACATCCCATACATGCGCTAATGCTAGGCGCACACGAGAGATTTTAGCTAAGCTAAATGGCACGAGTAACTTTTAGCTCAGCCATTTTCCTCACGTGTGCGGCGGTATTTTTGCTCGAACTATTCCTATACGCAAATACATATCAAATCGCAGTTTGAATTTATTAATTCATTCAAATTTCAAGTAATTTCTGGGGAAATATTTTTTGTATAAGATTCAAGCATGCATTAAAAAGTGTCAAAAAATCAACAGCAAGCTAGCTAATATATAAAAACCTTTTCCACTCACAGAATATGAACTTTAAGCAGAAATCTTTAGAATCAATCTATCTAACATAATTGTACTGAAAATTTATCATTTTTAGCTGACTTTCTACTCTGGCTTTCTACCTTCTTGATGACTTGCCCCACCAGAGCCTTGCCCCATTAGAGCCTTGCCCCATCAGAGCATTGCCCCACCAGAGCCTTGCCCCACTAGAGCCTTGCCCCACCAGAGCCTTGCCCCACCAGAGCCTTGCCCCACTAGAGCCTTGCCCAATCAGAGCCTTGCCCCACCAGAGCCTTGCCCCACTAGAGCCTTGCCCAATCAGAGCCTTGCCCCATCAGAGTCTTGCCCCACCAGAGCCTTGCCCCATCAGAGCCTTGCCCCATCAGAGCCTTGCCCCATCAGAGCCTTGCCCCACTAGAGCCTTGCCCAATCAGAGCCTTGCCCCATCAGAGTCTTGCCCCATCAGAGCCTTGCCCCATCAGAGCCTTGCCCCACCAGAGCCTTGCCCCACCAGAGCCTTGCCCCACCAGAGCCTTGCCCCATCAGAGCCTTGCCCCACCAGAGCCTTGCCCCATCAGAGCCTTGCCCCACCAGAGCCTTGCCCCACCAGAGCCTTGCCCCATCAGAGCCTTGCCCCATCAGAGCCTTGCCCCACCAGAGCCTTGCCCCACCAGAGCCTTGCCCCACCAGAGCCTTGCCCAATCAGAGCCTTGCCCCATCAGAGCCTTGCCCCATCAGAGCCTTGCCCCATCAGAGCCTTGCCCCACCAGAGCATTGCCCCATTAGAGCCTTGCCCCACCAGAGCCTTGCCCCATCAGAGCTTTGCCCCATCAGAACCTTCTTAATTGAAGGTTGCCTGCAAAAATACAACTAGAATTTTTCCTATTGGTCCCTAGAGGTTTTATCTATGTTGTGAAAATGTATCTATTTAGCCAATAAAACACAATTTACAAAATATAAACAATGGGTAACTAACTAACTTTCCAACTAACTTAATAATAACTAACCAACTAACTCAATCGATCTAAAAAACTATGTTTCAAATCATGCTTTCAAATTCTATTCCAAATTTGCATATCATGCTTTGAAGACTTTTTTGACCACACCCTTTGCCCATTCTCTTTAGATTAGCTTAAAATGAAATTTAGAATTTTTCTTGCAGTTGGTTTCTTGCAATGGTTTAAAACGTTATAATTTTGTCTGAAATATCAACCATCGCTACACTCCACGAGGTTCTGATTTTATTGCAGATTTGCAACTTTCTCAGATACCAACTTTCTGAACATTAGGAGGGGCGGCCGCCCCTCGTCCCCCTCGCTACGTGAGACCCTATAAGGGGGTATTTGAAATATGAAGTAATTGCGATTTTTGAGGGAAAAATATAAATATTTAGGTTTTTTAGCTTTGAGATATGAAATAATGTTGTTTCCCAGAATGAAATATCGAAATAGCGAAATTACTGAGTGATTTAGTAAATATTGTGTGAGGATTATTAATTTGATCGCAGAAGCCACACAAAACAGCGAGTATTGAGCTGTTTAAATAATTGTCGAACTCAAAACTCCAAGAAATGACGAGAAAGACAATATTCCTACCCCTAAACTTAGAGTAGTATTGGCCTTCATGACCAGCGAAACGTATTTGAAATTGGAGGGGCCAAAAACTACGATTGTGAAAGATTTTAGTTAAGGCCATCCCCGTGGTTTGGCCGCAAGAGGAATTATGAAAATACACATTCTAAGGATGCAAAAACCGCATCTAAGATAGATTGTGACCAGAGGATTTTCTAAGCTTTAGTTTTAGAACATTTTTAGTGCAGTGGGTATAACTATTTCTTTTATATGAAAATGGTCCCAAAATAAGACAGAGTAGAGAAATAAGAGAAACTTTGTTTATCAATATATCCAGAACATAAGAACATCAACAGAAGAAGAACTTCAGTTTACAATAGCTGCTTTGTGGTGTTGGAATATAATTTTGTAAAATCTGATCGCAAAAATTTTCGAGAATATCGTGTTACTAAGGAAAATGACTTTAGACAAAAGTTCAGACTTGGCTGGTCATAAACGTTTTTGGACGTAATTTATCATTATATAAGAATTTCAAAGTAGACACTTTGATTCTCTTGACTGGGAAGGATCAAGGAGGAAATCATACAATGTTCAAATCCGGTCCCCCGTTTTGAAGATTTCCGGTCCCCCGTTTTGCTTTACTTTTTACCTTTTTGTCAAAAGATGGTCCAAGAGATTCTTTCAAAATCGAGGAGGAGGTGGTTGGGTATATATAGATAGGTAGGGCGAGGTACGAATTTCTCAGACAAATGTTTGACAGTGACTGAGAGAGTTGTCTGAGCCAAATAAAGGAAAGGAAAAATTGGTGTTTGTAAAGAAGGCTTGCGTAGAACTAAGATATGTTTATGCAAATACTCTCCCTATCGCAGGCCTTATTTTAAGAAAATTTTATCACTGCACAATCAGGGTGGTTTCATATAAAGATTACCTCTAGAGGTAGGCTATGCAAGGTGCGTGTCAAAGGAACGCATGCGACAACCGGGGGTCTGGGGGGGGCTGTAAGCCCCCCAGCTGGTCAAGGGCAGAGGTCCAGGAGGCAGAGCTCATGAGATTTCGCCATCTCTACATTTGCTAACAAAGACCTCTGCAAAGAGGTCTCCGAGGTTGAAACGTTGATATGAAAGCTTTCGAGTGTATCCACAGTTTTTCATACATCAGCAGCTCGAATGGCTGACTTACAAAATACCGCAGAAGAAAGCAAGTTGAATGTAAGGCATTTTCCAAAGCTCTTTGAGATCAGATGGGCACAATTCACTGCTCAATTGATCCACTCGATCTTAGTATCGTGGAGAGCTCCCATGGTTTATTGTTCAATGTCTGACGATCAACAGGCAAAGAACTTCGGTAAATTTTTGTCAAACAAAAACAATTTGCAGTTGATTTGCATTTTAGGAGGCGTCCTATTTCTATTCAAAAATTTTCAGAAAAGGTTACAAAGTGACGACATTACTATTTTAGACATTGTTCCAGAGTCGAAAAAATTCTTAAAAAAATTAGAAAAGCTGAATGAGAAAGAGCTCCTTGGAGGTTGGGAGGAAGGTTTTAGTACCAATTATAACAAGGACATTTGTACCTTTTTCGGGACAACGTTATGGCAGAAAGAGAGCATGGGTTCCGATGCAGGTTGGAAAGCGGAGGGGCCAAGAAAAAATATAACATTCATATCAAAAGGTTTTAAAAAAGGTCTATTGTTTTGCAAAAATTGAGGGGGCCATGGCCCCCCTGCCCCTCCCTTTCTTCGGAGGCCCTGGAGAGGCGAAATATTCGTCGAAATCAATTTGTTTCTGAACAAAGTAGTTTTTGGGCAGTCCGAATTGAGGTGTTGGATAGCCTGAAAAACGTCATGACCACGTGGCTAAAATTGGACAGCTGATTTCAAGAAAGCTTAGGAAAGTTCATAAGGTTGGAAACCTGATGATGACGAAATAAGGGAAGTTCATGCTGCTGTTGCACCAGATCTAAATTTAGCATCGATATCTGAGCAACATGACGATATCAAGCAAATTGATATCAATAAAAACATTGTCAAACATGAAAAGGACACGAGAGAACGTTTTTAAAACATAGTAACTGTGAACTATTTATTATACACCAGAAACTGTTGATTTATTTGCTTCGCTTTTCATACTATTACCGTTATGTTCTGTTTGTTTATTTTTTGTTACTTTTTGTCGTATGAATTCTTTATGTTGCTGTTTCAACTAATTTATCACTACACAATTTTCCATTTATCACAGCACATTTTGGATTTATCACTGCACAAATTGGTTATCTTATCACTGAGGCTTAAAATAAAACCTGCCCTATGGTGGTAATTTGGTTGTTGAAAAGATTGGAGAAAGATGGAAATTCTAAGTAGAATAAAATGATATTTCCTGAGGATGCCAGTTAATTAAAAGCTGTTACATATTGACCAAAGAGATAATCATAGCATTGGCTAAAATGGGATTTATAAAAGTGTTCTAAAGGCCGGGTTACACGATCACTTTTTACCATCACTTTTTTCGATATTGGACCAACATGCTAAAAAGTGATCGTGTAACATACTAAAATTGTCCATTTTCGCTGCAGAATTTAATGCGCTTATCTGCTGTTAATCCTCTATCATTGGAAATTTTACTCTGAACGCAGAGTAAAATCGAGTTCATCACTTTTTTTAAAGGCGCCGACAAATTCTTACGTCACATGATGTTTTGATGAGAAGGGAACGGCCTAGAGTATCGAGAAAAGAAGAAAAGACGTGAATTGTGATCAGAAACATAATTATTAGGAGAAAACGAATATGAATAATGATTTGGAGTAAATCGAAGAGCAGCCAATTACAGAAAAATAAATGCAGTTTGATAAAATACACTCATTTTTTATAAGTTCACTTTTTCACCGACCCACTTTCCCCTTTACCAGGTATCATTTTAACCAAAGACAGAGCCCCCATCTGACGTATTGAAGTTCAAAAGCCCCTCATTTATTTGCGTAGATCCAAAATATATATTCTTTTCTCTTGGTTAATTTTTGATTGAGTGTTGCATTCCAGTGTTGCATTCAAGTTTTGCATTCAAGTGTTGCTCTCTACATTTAACAATAATGCTACATTTTGTTTATCAGCAGATCTAACTCCGTACTAAGCAATCTTAGTAATCTTTTTTACAGAGCCTGTTTCTCTGGTAGGAATTGACTGTTGCCCGAGACATCTCACAATGAATCGAAAAAAGGTCTTGATAATCGTAAGTTTAATTTTCTTTTAGTAGACTTGAATCATAATAATATTCATTTGAATCATAATAGACATATATACATCTAACTACTTATTTCTTTGGCAACACTGAACAAATACACTTAACAAGGTGACCAAATGGTAAAACTTTATAAGCACTGGACTTTGTTTACAGGACATCGTTTGCTGTTCTTTGTTCAGTCGTTTCTTTGGGGCTTCGTAACACAAAAAGAAGAAATTATCTCACTATGTTCTTCATGTAACATCTACTTTTCTACAAATTTTGTTGACTGATCGTACATAGAGCTCGATATTCAAGACGAGATAAAAGAATTTGTTCAAAAAGTTCTTCAATGCTTGACGAGCCGAACTTAACTGTGTTCCTCCATAGTTTTAAACTTTCTTGTCTAGCCCTGGATTTTTACTAGTGTTTAGAGGAATTTCTATTTTCTATCTGGAAACTGTTATAGACTGATATTCATAGGTAAATCGAGCATGGGTGGATTTTCGTGTCCATCGATTCAGCCTCAGTATCTTTATCTCAATGTTTTTGTCCATATATAACTCTATCATTAGCTTCTTGTGATGAATAGAACGTTATCAGAATTGCCGATCTTTCACAGCTGTTCTATTTGCAGTTAAAAGCTTCTTCAAATCTAAATGTCAAGCCTTCAACCATCAAATTCTTATTTTGCCGTTATTTGACCGTTTCAGAAATTCCTTGATCATTGAAGTATTTAAGATTAGTCCTTGAGCGGTTTCGCATCTCTGATGACAGCTGTATCTAATATCTTCCAATTTCTCAAATTTGCATGCCTATTATGTTGAATTAAAGGACTAAATAGTGCTGATTAAGCCTTCTGAACAGGAAACTTTTGAGCAGCGCAATTTTCTCAGGGTCGGTTCCTTGTTAGAAATGCTACTTACGATTGGACTCTGAAAAGATGAAAATTGTCATGAAGTAGGACTAATGAGGTTTGAAGTAAAGCCATTCCAAGGCAGTTTTGTGATAAGATGCCTGTATCAACTCAGAAACTCTCAAAAACGTTTATATAGTCCTATCAACAGAGAGCATTCTGTTATCTTTGAGAGCGAGGGGCAAGTCATTCTGTGGCGTGTCGCAGTTTACGGCGCCTCTGTTTGATAACTAAGGGCCTCCAATCAAATGGGCTCCAAAGATATCCATGTTTTTGAGATTGGCCCAAGTTCATCTTGTTATCAAAAGCTCGAAACGTTCTTAAACTGAAGCATTTAGCTAACCTTTCCTTGTTAACGAGAAATGTGTCCAGTGGCGGCGTCAAGGGGTGGTATGGAGGGGGGGGGGTGGCTGAGGGTAATTACCTCCCACTTTTCTGAAAAGTGGTCTATTTTTACGCCTTGCTTTTGTGTTTGACATGCAGTACCCCAATTGTTCGGACCTTCTTGCCATCCGAGAAATGGAGACCCGTCTCATTTTTTTCCAAAGAGTCCCATATACCTCTATAATGCCACTGAAACTACTCCATTGAAATTTTGTACACCTCTGATAGAAATTCGATTGTTTTATAAGTAAATCCTTAGAAATCCTTTTGTTTTGGTGTAAATCTCGTTCCCTTTTTACAAGAGTGAATTGTCCTTCGGTAGAATGATTCTGAACCTAGGCTCGAAAGAACTTCAAAATAAGCTCAATGCCAAAGTTTGCTCTTTCCTTTGTAATCGTACTCTAAAATGTTGGCGCGGAGCCTTTTTGGTCCTAAAAGGTCTTAGTGCTGTATCATGAGGCTCCTAATATACATCTTCTCTATGGGAGACGAAAATCTATGTTGAATTAAGTCGTTGTGGTTATAAAGAAAAGCATTGGGGGAAGCAAATTAACAACTGTCTCCGGCCGTGGAACTTTGCGAAAATTTAAACGACTGTAAACCCCAAGTAAAGAGTTTTAAGCTTACGTGTTTAAGTAAATGGAATTATAAAAACTAAACGATAAAAAAGGACCCCCTTTAAAACATTGTATCAAAATGTCTCAGCATCATTTACCTGGAAAAGCGCCAGAGGTGCATTGAGGGGTTTGGTGGGGGTAAAGCGCCAAGAAAAGGGCGAAAAAGTAACAAAAAAAGGAAGTTGCTAAATTTTAAGAGAGGAAGAGGACAACCGCCCCTATACAATTCCGTCCTGTGGCGTCCCACGAAAGCGGCTTTGGCTTGCCAAGAGCGAGACAAAGGATTCTCTCCTACCGTTTAAATTCTACTACCAGCGATTCAACGTAAGTTACATACGAGTTTCATGGACATTATAATTGATATGCAGGGCACCGAGTGGTCTAGGAGGGCAAAACCGAAAGATGAGACCCCCTGTGAGGGGAGCGAGGAGAAAATTTCTGCGACCATAAGCTACATGTTCGTCTAGTATTAGAAACAAAACTCATCCCCAGACCCCAAAGAGAACAGCCACCTTGGTCTTGCAAATCTAAAAGTACAACTAAAACCTGCGTTTCTGCTATCGGGCAGCATTAACTGGAAAACCCAGATTGTGCAAAAAACTATGATGGCGACATGTTTTGGATTATTTGTAAAGCCCGATCATCTTTCCACCTAGCAGTTTTGGAATCTATCTACATAAGCACGAAGAAACCGCTACTGTGTAGACAAAAGGAGTTCGTTTTCACCTTAGGACTCCATTGGTAACATTCTCAATAGGCAAGCGGCACTGATTGGTCAACCTCAACAGTCATTTGCTGGTGTTTCTGATTGGCTTATTTCGATCCACAACTGGGAATATATATTTCCTAGCGTAGAGTTTTCGATCTATGTTCTGACGTTTTAAAGTCTGAAGAGTGTCAGACGAAAAGCTTTAGTTTACTAAATGTTTGCTTTTTTCAAAGCCACTTTCAAGTTTTGTACCACCAAAAGATTGTTTGATACTTGATTCGTAGTTAGATACAATGTAATCGATTGTTCGATTACAAATCAATTGATGACGTTAGACCGAGCAGTTATGACTTATGAAATTGTCAATCAGCTCTGTCCTGAAGGGCTATAAAATAAGTACATCAAAGATCTGTCATATCAAAATATATCATACATAACAAAGCACAAGAAATAGACAGGATCTCCGTGTGCAAAAACTAACATTAGAGTACACCAAAAGGAATATTTTGTACACTGGTCCAGTTGCTTGGAATAAAATCCCTAAAGGCTTTAGATTCTATCGTAAGACTTGAAAAAAAACTAAGATTTCATCTATTGAGCTAACAGGAATCAGCTCGGCACGAATCCATGGAAGATCAGACAATTTATATTAGCTTAACTCTGACAAATTTCTATCGTAATGTAGCTTTTATTTTTGTGTATCACAACTTTTCTTTGTTCTGAATGGATTTCATGTGTAATTAAAATTAAATGAAACAAAATGATAAAGGCGAAACTAGCTTAAAGGAAAAGATGTTACAAGCGGATCCCTCCGTTGCAGAAAGACAAAAATGTTGGCAAAAGGGTCAAAAGTTCCACTGAAAACGTTGGTTAAAACTGGCTAGAATTTTGAAGTGATAGTACGTTTTGTAGAAGTTTTATTGATATCAACAGTCATTGCCAAATTTGTTGATAAAATGCTCACCTTGAAAAGAACTTTTCTGTGATTTTGATGAAAACATAACGGCATATACTTGTGCAGGAAAGAAGAGCGATTTCCAAAAGCTGTTCTGATGATCTGATAGCGTAGATTCGGCTAACAGGCAAACTTTGATGATCTGATGCTGATAGAGCCATTTTTGTGGCTACATATTGTAGGCCGTAAGCTGTGTCAGATTTTTATTTGGTCTCGCTGCCCTCATTCCGGCACTACGTTTAATAAGCATTTTCCTGTGTGTTTTTTCGTGCTGATTACGAATCTTTTTGTTGTCAACTGTAAAAACCTGCAATTCTCTTGGAATTCAACTTCAAACTTCACTATTCCCGCGCTTAAGGTGTATAACATGGAATGCCGAAAGCCGATGCTGCTTAATTATTCTCGGCCCTATCTCACAGTCCGGGTAATACCTAAGTACCAATTGCTTTAAAATAAACATGGCGGTCGGCTAAACAAATGGATCGTTTTTTGATACATTCTTGACATTCTTGCTTTCCAGTAGCGGCACCAAGGGGTAGTATGGACGGTTATCCCCCCCCCATCCCCTCTTGCAAAACATTGTCCAGATATTCTCCTAAAATTGATGAAAAATGCACTGGGTAGGGGCAGGTCATATTTTTCAAAATTTGTCTATGAAAATGCATCTGGCATAAAAAACAATTAAAATGAGACAGTAAAGGCGTAGTCTCCTGGGTCAGGCCCATTACCCTCCCACTCTGCTACAGCTGGTGCCACCACTGTTTTATTCTTAACGCGTTTATAAAGCTTAAATAGCTGAAATGTTTTTCATAAAATTATTGATTTCAACCTGATTTAAGAAAGTAAAGTACAAAAATCATAAAGGGATGACGTCATTAACTATTCAAAACCTGTATACGAGATTACAGGGCCGCAGAGATAATTTATGGGCCCCGGGTCAGGACAAAAATTAAATTATAAGGCATGCCTAAGGCAGACGCTTCTAGGAGGTATGGGGAATGCTCCCCAGAAATTTCTGAAAATTATGGTTGCTTAAACTGCTAGGGTGGCTATTATGGTTGCTAAAATTGTCATGGTGGCTAAACTGCGCCGGTGGCAATGGTGTAGATAGAGGGGGCCAGAGAGAGCAAAAACACTACTATACTACTATATTGTCGGAAAACCTCTGCTCTTTTCAAAAATCTAACATGATTCTATGTTTATCTAAATGCTATGTTTTGATGGAAAAAATTTGAATCTAAATAAACATAAGAATATTCAATATATCAAATGATCTTTTTTCAGTTCTGATATCGTTATGTTATGTTGAAATTTATGTGAAAGATATAGAAGCTTGTTAAATTTTTGTCGGAAAATCCATGGTTCTCACCCCTCCTGTGAATTAGAAAGAAATAGAAAATAACAGGTACAAGATGATACGTTTAAATAACTGAGAATAAAAAACAAGTGGGTTATCGGCACAAGATTTAGGGATATGCGAACGCCATAGTGTAAATCTGTATGACATACATATTGCCCTGTATGTTACCCTGCAATCACATTTCGTAACATTCAGAAGCTTTTGAACTAGCCAACAAAGATGAGAAATTCTTAACAAAAATTTCTTCACGACTTCATGGACCTTTGTCATTATTGTCTCTAATATTATGTTTTGTTAATGTTGATGAGGAGGATGGATTATAACTTAGAAATTTTGTTCAATTGAGTTATTATTTATGGGCCCCCGGGTCAGTGACCCCCCTGACCCCCCTCTCCTCAGCACTGTACGAGAATAACCCGTACAGTATGAACAAGCTTACTCGCATTTGCCAACTGTAAGCTCGCTCATGCTGCTAACTATGGTGTTAACTACAAAAACAGACGGTTTTGACCATAATACATGATGATGTTGTGATGACGTCATCAACCGTTAAAAGGCATCTTCTCAGACACGAAGCGTTTGACAACGCTCTAAGTTGCACGTTTGTATACTAACTTAAAGTGATCTAGCTGGTGAGGGAAGTTTCTGTGTCAAGAAATGTTTTTTAAATAATTTGACTGTATCGATGACGTCATAAAACCTAGAAATTATTGACCCCCGTATCTCACGAGTTGCATGTTTGTCAGAGTGACAACAACTGATTTTATATTAAGTAACACATTATAAACAAGGAAAAACAGTCGTGAAGTTGTGCCCGGATGCGGGCAACGAAAATTGATTTTGGAGCACCTTTTTTGGTCACAGCTTACGGCCTATTGCACAGAACATCAAGACTAAAAGCACTATTATCAAATTTAATTTAAATCCCTAATCGTTCTTACTTACTGCATATTTGTTTCTCTAAAGGAAGGGCTTGGCTAGCCTTTTATGATCTAGTTATTTCAAAATTTGATGGTTGTCGAGAGAGGCATTATTTAAAATTACGTCACACTGAACGATCATGGCTGAGCTTACATAACGAGTTTTGTGTTGTGGATTTATTCAAGGGCGGGGGGGGGGGGGGGGGGGGGGTTTCTATAAAAGACAGTAAGTTCAATCTTTTCGAGTCACTTTCTAAATCAATTAATGTTCTCTTTGTCAGTTTCTGATTGGTGTTGCTGTTGTTGCTACAGTAGTTGGTGTTGCAGTGGGTTTAAAGTTGAACAATGAAAAAGAATCCAATTCTGGTAAAGGTAAGTTCAAAAGTTTGGGCCAAAAGCATCAATACCGTATTTGATCTATTGAACGCATGCGAGTTTATAAAAATCTTTGGCCTTTAGGAGAAGCCACTATTAAAGCGTTTTTAGAAAGAAACGTTTATTGGAAAATGGTTTTCTGCAAGACAAATCATTTTTTCCAAATCAATCATTGCGAGATCTGAAAAGTAAAAACTCTAATCAACTGTTACCTCAGTGTCAGTTGTTACTTCACTGTTACTTCATCTACCTCAGTGTCAGTTGGTTAAAAAGTCATCCTCCTCTACGTCGAAATCTGTCATTTCAAATGGATCCTCTTTCCCCTTGTCATCACAAGATGCGACGGTTTTTTATAACCTGCCTTGTACGACTGATTCCCCACACGATATTTTTTCATCATCTGATCCAAAATCCGAACATGGCAATGTGAAACATCGAAATGATTTTATGATGATGTCTTTTTTAATAGAAAACACTAAACTGCTCTTTTTGCGGTAATTTTAATAATTTCTCTTGATGTTCATTAGAGAGTGGGCGTTTATTTAACAGTTTTGCTTATATAGGGACGTTTATTACAGGGTATTTTAATCAGTAAAAAGAGTGCGTTTGATAAATACGGTAGGTAGGGTGACCAGTTCCTTCGTTGCTCTCTATAGCCCCCTCCCCAATGTTGCCACAGTATTTTATAGTTTAGCAGAGGATGCAACGGAAATACGTGTGTGTATTATATTTGTTTTTGCTTGTGCAAAGAAAAGGTCTTTTGTAAAAGTCAGGGTTTTTCTATTCAGACCATTCAGATGTAATGCCTCGTTTCTGTAATTTTAGCTTTAGGCCCAGGTCTTTTAGCAAGACAGTCGCACCTGATTCCCTTGCAGGTATGTCCAGTGCTGACAGTAGTTGAGGAATGAACTGTAGATAATTTAAAACTTTGCAATCTGTTGACTTCACTTACCCTGGATATCAGAGCAACATAAGTTCTAGAGCGGAAATAGAAGAGAGGAGAGCAGAAGTGGAGGTGCATCTATCTTCTCCTCTTGGCATTCTGTTTACGCGCTCGAAATTTTGTGGCTCTGGCACCCAAGGTGGACTTCACTACGCATGAAAATCTCAGCTTTATAATCGGTTGTCATCATGGAGGATATTGTTGACAAGAGGAGAGCCAGCTACGTTGCATTCGCAAAATACAAAGGGATTCAAGGGCCTTCCCCTCTTGCCCCATATAGTTTATTCACCTAAGAGAAGCCCCATATACTTGTCTAACAAATCTAAGATTTTTGTATTGTGAAATCTGACATCTTATATTTCCTTTATATCTAGCCTCAGCAAAGAAGAGTTACGATTGCAAAAGGTTAGTTTCAACTTTACTTTCAGTTTCCACTGTAGACCCTTTAAACTCGACGTATTTTCCTTTCAACAAAAACATTATGGCATCAAAGGATACTTTGCTTGTCTCGTTCATTCCACAAGTTTGAAGATGCTTGCCAAACGCTCTTCCCGCCAAAGACTTCTCCTTTCCTTACATTCAGAAACATGAATAGGAAATGATGTTTAGAATCCATTTGATAAGTAATCTAATAAAAGATAATGATAGCGATTCAACAGGCTTGTTCAGTTATTTGAGCGAGTGATACAGTAGACTTGACAATAGTCATTATCATATATCGAAGACACCGAATTTTCCTTTTGGGGAGTTATCCGAAAAAGTAAGACCTTTTAGTAGCAACAAAATCATTAAGTTTACAACTTCTTTATTGGGAACAGTTATTGGGAATATATTTTATAATTTTCTGTTGAGTTGGTGTAGTTTATAAGATAGGGACTTCGCTGGCAGATTTGCTGCATCATACTTTTTGATTCTCTATTGTTCGGGTAGACTGTTCGGGTCGATGGTGAGGAATCAATGTTGGGTTTTGGGGTCAAAACTGACAGATAAAATTTACAGTAACATCAACAACACACAGTCACACACTGATGTTCTATACAGAAAAGCGGGTACAGCTCGGCCTGTATGGCATCGAGCAATTTAGGACAGTCCAGGAAAGAAGCGAATTTTCATAATTAAAAACTGAGTTTTAATGTGCAAAAATGAAACTTTTTTATGTACCAAAAAGATTTCAAATGTTGTTTGCTAGCTTCAGCAGGCCAGCAGTGATAATGATATCAATGGATGGCTTTAGAGCAGACTATCTCAACAGAAGTTTGTCACCAAACATTCATCATCTTGGTAAGTTCTATTTTTTTACTATTTATTAAAATGGCGGTGCAAAATCGCGGTTTTCTACAGGCCAACGATAGCAGTGTAAATTTATAAGAGCTACGTATTCTACAGACCGACTGTTATTCATAGCTTATTTTTTGATAATGGCAGCCCAAGGACGCGAAGCATATCGCGCATTAAGAAGGACTAAAGCCTCGGTAGGCCCTCCGATCCTTGTGACAGCCTACAATGCATTTCATGAAGTATCGAATAATTTGAGAATCGAATAATTTGAATATCGAATAATTTTTGCATCGAATAATTTGGGTATCGAATAATTTGGGTATCGAATAATTTGAGTATCGACTAATTTAAATATCGAATAAATTCAGTATCGAATAATTTGAGTATCGAATAATTTGGGTATCGAATAATTTGAGTATCGAATCATTTGGGTATCGAATAATTTGAGTATCGACTAATTTAAATATCGAATAAATTGAGTATCGAATAATTTGAGTATCGAATAATTTGAGTATCGAATAGTTTGAGTATCGAAAAATTTAAATATCGAATAATTTTTGTATCAAATAATTTGAGTATCGAATAATTTGGGTATCGAATAATTTGAGTATCGAATAATTTGGGTATCGAATAATTTGAGTATCGAATCATTTAGGTATCGAATAAATTCAGTATCGAATAAATAAATGAAAAACCAGTTAATAAATACCAAATTAACAAAACTTTAAACTGGAAGGGTTTGCTACTCCATCTGATCTACCGACTTCGTAAAATGCATTATTTGCTCTCACACCAGGTTGAATAGAAAACTAAAAAGACTCCGAGATCAGGAAGGTGCTTCTTATAATTAGTAAATCAAGAATCCTTGTAGCATGACATAATTTTAGTCAAATTCACCAAAATTGTGATATCCATGGATGGACTCAGAGCAGATGGCCCTCTTTGATATTTTTTGGATTCGTCGGAAACGTTTCTACGAGAAAAGACAAGCATTCGGTTTGTCGAACAGTTTTGCTATGATAAACATTTTTCTCGTAAAAGAGTCTTTGATCCCCCTTTCCCATCCAGTATTTGATCACTTTGGCACCCCTGGCATCAATCAACGCTAGCTTTTTTGAATGGCCATTCCTTTAAGAACGTCCCTCTGTTGGAAGTTTCCCATATTTTTACTTTGCACAGTAATTCTATGAAGAGAGGACAACGAACTAAAACCATAACTCAGTATTTTCAATCTCACCTTAGCTTCAGAAGGCGTTCAAGCAGAGTACATGACTTCGCAGTTTCCAACCAAAACTTTCCCAAATCATTATACCATCGCAACTGTAAGTGAATCCTGATTGCTTTTCAGTAAAGATATGTATTTAGATTTCTTTAGGCTTTTACCATGATACTTTCTCTTTCTACCAAAATTATATATTCATTGTTGTATTGGCTAATGGAATATGGCTTATGGAATATGGCTCCTCAGTCAGACTGCTTACGCCATGCCATTGCAGATATGTCCAGAGGCAGCTTGAGCTGCAGGGGTAAAAAAGATGGATGCAAATTGTCAATTATCCTAAACTGGTTTTGAACTTTTCACGGTCCAATTAGGCTTTGGAGCCTGAGGTTTTCGCCCCAGCCACCTCCTCCTCTCGATTCTCTGCTTTGTCGCGTAAATTAGTTAAAAAAGATTGATAGAAAAAAGGCTTTCATATAAGATATATAATATTTTTAAAAATAGTCATTGATGGCAAAAAGGACTGTCCATGGTTTATTCCAGGGTCTTTATCCAGAATCGCATGGAATCGTTAGCAACAGCTTTTTGAGCGAAGATCGCAGTGAATATTTCAGAATCGGGAGCAAGGCAGCATTGAACAGTAAATGGTGGAAGGGTGAACCGGTAAGATTTCTGCATTCTTCTGATGACTTACTTACTTCCAGAGGCAAAGACAAACAATATTGTTAGAGGGGTAAAGAAGGGCTTTTTGCCGACAAAAAGGGCGTGTCTACCTTTTTAAGGGTGTGGTCAATAAATAAATGCTCCTATATGCTGCCTTCATGCGTTTCTGTTTCAAAGTTCATACTTTCGTGCCATACTTTGAAAGTTCAGCTACTACAGAAATGTTGATACATTTCAATTGTTGCAAAAAAGACAGGGAATTTTTAAAAGTGCCTAACCTTAGTTTTTGCTCTTGATTTAGGTACTTTCAAGCAACCTTGCTGAATATTCTAAGCCTTGGATACATTTTTGTAACACCATAGAAGTCACGTGATCGATGGCGTCATTTTCCCCGGTCATCAAAATTTTTAGTTCTCTCTTTTGAAAAATCGCTCCAACCATCTTGTTTAACATTGCAATAGGAGCAAAAAATTTTAAAGAATAAACTCTATCAGACCTGCAGATAACAAGTTATTGCTATTTAAAGTTTGCATGGCGTCATCAAAATGGCGGTTCTGCAGAACAAAATAACTGTCCCTGCAAGATCCTCCCCGGTCACAAATCTTGCAAACCGCGGTACCAAAACCCGAAGATAAAAGAAAACTTTTGATGAAAACATTTGTTTTGACATTCTTGAATTACTGTTCCTTGGTATGAATGTATTGTAGTAAGAAAAACAATAAACTTATTAACAACATTCACGAAAGAGCATTGCGAATAGCCTATAACGATTTTTCATCTAGTTTTGAACAACTTCTGTTCAAAGACAATGCAGTTACAATCTATGCAAGGAATTTAAAGCAACTTGTAACAGAAATTTACAAAGCTATTCATCACGAAAAACCATGTTTCATGGAAGATATTTTTGGCAGAACTGAACCACCTTATAACTTCAGGGGACTCACTTTCACTAGAAATAAACCAAACACAACATCATACGGATTAGACACTGTATCATACAGATGTCCAGAAGTATGGAACTCAATTCCCACAGAAATAACCTCAAGCTCAAATATAAAAACCTTTAAAGCAAGTATCAAAACTATGTCTGCGATTTCTTGCTCATGCCGGATTTGTAAACCATTTATAGGACAAGTGGGCTATATAAAATGACAAGAAACCTACTTTATATCAACCTACTTATAAGTTATTCATCTATTTTTGTTGCGTTGTTGAATTCGGTTATTGTTAATTTATTCAGTTGATTTTAATTAGCTTTAGTATAGCTAGTATTATACGTTTACCAACTCAAAAGAAAGTGAAGAAAAAAAACCAAAGGGTTCTGAAAAATGTGAGTGTGCTACGTTTCCAAACTTTCTTTTTAATGTTTGCCAATGTTTGCATAATTGCGAATTGTATAATGTGCAGCTAGTGTCAATGCTGATGTGCAGTCGTCCAGTTACAAGAATGCTCGATGCAGACAAATTACACATGCCACCCCGGCAAAAATCTGACCTCTCACCGGGGCACTTAGACGCGGGTGTGAAAATGCAAGCAAAAGGAAAACGTTCTAATAAAAATTTAGTAGTATATAAGGACACCGCAACGCGACGAGAATAAACAACAACAAACACACAAATCAGTGATGGCTAATATTTTCGCCCCGGTATACGGGCAAATTCGATTTTTCGCCCCAAAATTTCCTCAGGGGTTCGTCGAGCAGCCTGCTATCGCGGTCTCTCCTTCATTCGCACACTAATAAAATTTTGTCTACAAGAAGGCTATACTGAAGAGGAGCTTTCGTCAGCAATGACAGACCGTCGATCCGTCAGTTCTGTCGCTCGGCAATGAACTCCAACTTTTGCAATTCGAAGCTTTGCTGAGATGTGATCGGGCATGAAGATGCTGGAGAGTATACAAGTATATACTTAGCTCATGTACTTGTACTGGGCTGCCAGAGGTGGGGCGGCAGTGGACAGAAAACTTATTTTCTTTGCAAAGATAAAGAGTTTAGGAAGAAATCTATGCGCGATTCAGTGATAGTGAATATTACTTTTTATATACTTTGGTGTAACGGAAGCATCTGGGGCTCTAAGCAAAAACTGCTAAGGGACTTCTATTCACGGAAAGCAAGAAGCTCACATTAACTGGTGTAGAGCATGTCAAACACAATGGAAAAAGATAAAAATGAGAATTATTTCCTCGTTCACTAGAGGGAACTTCAGCTTTCAATTTTAAAGCTTCAGCTGAGGAACTTCCAAAGTTTCCAAAAGTTATTTTAACTTGAGCAAAGCTTTAAAGATCTGGACGTAAAAACACCTTGGGCCACTTTGTATTTTCAACCGCTGTATCACTGAAGCTATTGCCTAGTGTGCCGTGGAAATTTCTCTAACTTCACTTAATTTCACAACAATGGCATAAAATACTTCTCTATAGGCAAAATCAGTTAGATTTGTTCAAAGTTAGGCAAGATATGGCCAATAAAAAAGTTCAAGTTTGCTAACGGATTACTATTCTGGCCTGGTTCATAAAGTTATGATTTAAGTTACTTAGATGTATTTTATGATGCTCTTTCAGGCTATGGGAGCAAAATTCAAACATATTAAGAACTAGATTTTTGGAACGTCATCACTTCGGTACTTCATTAAGTTCTTGACCACGCCTTTTTTCCAAAATGAATAATCTGAAAATAGTTTTTTGAATAACAATCATCGTTCAGTGGGTAGAGCGCCTGATCAAGAACCGAGCGATTTGTCCTCCTTTCACTTTCGGTCAACAGTAAATGCCAGAAGAGGCACAATTCTTTTAAATGCTTATTCACTGCACTAAAATACCTCAACGAAGCTTATCTCAGCCAGCTCCAACAGGATACTTGGGTGCAAAATTTGAAGCAGAAGTAGAAGCACAACAACCTTTGTCTCTCAATTTTGGTGGATTTGGTTTGAAAGGAAGCACAGAAAAACAAAATTTTATTTTGAAAAAAACATCCTTTTGTGCATACAAAAATCTTAAGCCTTTTTTGTAATTTTACTCTGTCCAGTTAATCATTCTATTCCTACTTTTTAATACTAAAGATCATGTCAGAAATTTGCACATATTGTCTTTCAGAACACTGCAAATATTTTAAATTGTCATTGTCATATAAATAAGAGGCTAGAATAGTACATTGGTAGCAAAATATTTAAAATATTCTACAATTAAAATCATACATAGATCATACACATTTAATACAACAAATGTATTCTGATAAAACTTGAAAGGCCTTAAGTGCATCAAAGTGATGCATCCAATGATTTGATGAAGTTCTAAAAAGTAGGTTCTATACATTACTGATGTAGTATAACAAAGTGAGCTCCTTTTTTCTTTGTCAGGTTTTATCTTAAAATGGAGAATCTTCCTCTTTCTGAGGTCCACTTTAACACCACTCCCCCTCAAATTACATTTACCAACAGGAATTTTTCATTGCGTAAAAATGATAGTATGAAAAATAATAGTCATAATGTTTTGGAAAAGCCAGAATCTGCCTTAAAAAACCTATTATCGTACAGAAATCTTCAAACTTCTCTATCTAGAACTTTTGTTTCTTATTGTCCTATTCAAAAAAATTCCATTGCTGTCCCCTAATTTTTATAATATTTTAAGAAAACTAAGACAAATTATTGAGTAAAAAATACAGAATATGTTTCAAATACACAGGCATTTGCATGGAACATTTATAGGGTTGTCTCTTGAGACCCCTTTCCCGTAGCAACACATCTACAGATTTCTTAGTCCACCACATACCCCCTTTTGTCTTGACATCAATATTGTATGGCCATGATTGGAAATTAAAATTACTGTTTAGACATTAACAAACAATATTAACATTAATATTAACAAAACTGAATGATAGATTCTTTTCTGCTACTAAATTTGGATTTTTTTCTAGACCAACACATGTTAACTATTTCTGAGTTACATGTCCCTTTCTTACATGAGAGTATGAAGCAAGCCTTCCTCTTCTTAACTTCCATCTTCGTCCGTAGACAGCATAAGCCTTGGCTTTCTCTTCTTCTGTAATTTTACGGTCATCAAGAACTTCTAGATTCACAAAATGGCTTGTAATAAATAACCTATCAATGACAGAAGAAATAAGTGAAAAGAAGTCACATGAAAATATGCATAACAGCTTGCTTTATCAAATTAATTTATTAGTTGTTCTCAAGGGCACCTTAGATTTTATGTTTTTATTTCCATCTTTAGGCCAAATTTATCAAAAACATTTCTTTTATCAAAATGATTTCAGAAACTGAAAATAACTAATTTGTTTCATAGAAGTAACATGTGCTCTTTCATTACGATAAATCCTCGAAGAAGCCCCCATGCTCAAATAAGCCCCCTTTGAATAAGTCCCCTCTCAAATAAGCCCCTACCTAAAAGCTTCTCCACATTTACCTCTAGTTTATCATGTTTGAAATGCTAAAGGCATTAGAAATAATTAATTGTCAGATTTCAACACAGTACAGGGCCCCCACTACCCATTCTAAAGTTGGGAGGGCTAAAAGGAGGGTTACCTATTTAATACTTCATCAGGGGATTTAAAACATAGTTAGCCATGCCCCCCTGTAGCATGGGCCCTGGAGTAGCTAATAATAGTGACTAAACAAATTTAAATGGGACAACATAAACCGCTGCAAATACACTGCTTATCTGGCATATTTCACTTTTTGCACTGCAATTATTTACAATGGAACAATCCCTCATTTTGGAAATAATCCAAAGTTTCAATAGAAATTAGATCACTCTCATTGTGACCAAAACTTTGGAACCAAGGTTAATTTCTGATTATCATTTGAAATCTGCTTAATGTGCCAGATGGTGAAAACCAAAATGAAATGTTTGTGAAAACCAAAATGAAATACAATGCAATGAGTAGATTACCTGTAATCTTGGTACTGTTCCACAGTTCCACCATTGAAATAACTTGGTGCAGCTCCATTCTTCATCAAACTCAGATAACGCAGTCCTGGCAGGCTTGTGGCCAAGTTTTTTATAAAAAGGCTTAAATTTTGAATTAAATTTGAGTTCAGTGAAAGCATTGTCAAGTCTGGCAAAGAAGGGAAGGTTGTGTTGCAGTTGATTCTGTTATGATCCAACACAAGGGTCTCAAGATGCTGAATCATACAAATGCAATTGAGCTTTCTGTGAAATTAAGTTAAGGAAATAAGTGTCAACAACTTTTTGGCGGTACAGAGCTTTAAAATGGCTTTGAAAAAGCAAACATTTCATGAAACACACAACAAGCAACCTACTACAGTAGAATGTTGTGAAATGTTTGCTTTTTTCAAAACCATTTTGAAAATATTGTGTTACTTTCTATGGCAGCATAAAACTGAAATATGATGCTCAGAAGAAATATAACACTCGTTCGACTGATTGATTGACGTGTGTCCTTTTGGTTCAACTTGCATATAATCAGAAATGTCAAAAACTGACAGACCCTTGAAATTTGAAAATGGAAGTAAACCATATATCGCCCTAGGTGGAGGCTTAAACAAATTGTTAAATGTTCAAGGTGAAGCGGCATATTAAAAAAAGCAACCAAATGCCATTGATGTTTGCTGTAGAGAGGATACTCGAGACAATTGTAACTCAAATCCAATGTTTTGGTCTTCTCCAGTTTGTCATGATGATGGCCTAAAATGGTCCACAGCGAACTCTCGTTTAGATCTCTGAAGGCTAAATTCCATGATTCATCTTTGCTTCTAACGTCATCTTTTTGTGAAAATATACTCTTTTGTGAATTTCTGCTGCCCGCGCTCTTCAACATCAATAAAATTCGACATAAAATGAATCTTACAAAATTTTCTTCCAACGCCGGTCACAATTTGTTGAAATGTGCCGTCAAAACGAGGCCGGGTCTCATGAGATGGTCACATGAAAGAAGAACTTGGGGAATTCGATGAGGAAGAGACAATTACAGTCCAGAGCAGGGCCCCCGAGAGGAAAGGGGGCAGGGGGAAAAATTGAAAAAAGAAAAGAAATAGAAGGAAAAACAGTGCAATATACCATTCAATTCATAGTTTATAAGGAATAAGCAGCGTCCTATAAAGCTAGGAAGGGGGGTATGCTGTAGAAGCCACACCCAAAAATACGACCATCGTCACACCCTGAAAACTTGCTTTTGCGCTAAAGATTAGTTATTGTTTATAAAGAAACACCCAAGCTATTTGCCAACTCTAAAAGACTGGTTGTAAATGCTGATTCATGGAAAATCAATAGCATGCTAGAGGGTTAATTGACCATGCCAAACTAAGAATTGCCTAAGTAAGAATTTCATGCTTGCTGAACACAGAGAAATGACACTAACCCAACCAAACATATACTGGCCCTTACAAAGAGGGGCTGAGCCCACCAAAATCTTTCAATTTTAGCAAGGGAGCAATTTTACCAAGCAGAAGTCAGGTTCGAGACGGGTAAGCAAAGTTGGACATCACATAAGAAAGGGCATTTAATATCTTGGTTTCGCTTTCAGAGCATTATAAACTGCAGAAGGATGGAAAAGCAAGGCACAAGGTCACTTAGGAAATGGAGCAGTTGGTGCAGGAATTCAAAAAAGCAAACAACAGAGCACAAGAGTATCTGAATGAACGAAGAGAATCAGAATCGAGTAGGACTTCAGAATCTCATCAATCACAATAGCACCAAAAGATGAACGTTGAAACATCAAGATATTATGAACCATCTGATATACCCTTTCAAGAAGCAAAATTTGAATTTTCTCAAATTTGCCACAATTTTGAGTGACATAAAAAAGTACAACACAAGTCAGTAAATTTTGGTGGCATATGAAGAACTCAGTTTTCAATAAACCCCGAGGAACACGCACATCAACTGCACCAGTCAATACCATTTCATAGTGGTCACAAAGGTTATTCACACGAAGAATAACTTGGTCAGAACATGCAGAGACAGCTGCAGTGAGACAGCTACATTTCTGATATGCATTGACAGAGCTCCTCCTACACCTGAATTTAAACTGCTGCAATTGAGGCAACATCTACCTGCTGCTGCACTAGAAGCAATTGAGAATGATGGTTTTTCAGGAGCTGCATGTGAAGCTGCAAAGGAAAGATTAGAACGAAAATTTGGTGGCAGGAGAAGGGGGATCGGAATTCATTTGGAGGACTTGGGTAATTTTAAGCCAGTGAAAGTTGGGTGTTCAAAAGACATCGAAAAAATTGGCAGATTTACTTGATGTTTTGATGGTGGATCTGCAAGAGGCTGGACGTCACAAAGAATTAGGAATTTGATCTCTCTACATCAAGTTGCTGAAGAAGCTTCCAGAAACGCTGTTGACTCAGTACAATCGATGGATCTTTGAAAATCAAAGAAGAGGATGCGTTGTGAAACTGAAGATGTTGGTGATTCAAGAATCTGAATTCTACATAGTTGCGAGAGAAACAGTACATGGTGTAATAATGTTATATTAATCCTGTTCTAGTGTAATGGTAATCGATCCTTGTCCGTGAAATGAAATGGCGAATGCGAAACAGACGACAAGAAATAAAAAAAGGCGAGGTAACAGCAATATTTACAATATTTACAAATCAGCGAGTAAATGAAATAGCGGTCATAACAAAATCCATCGAGTTCTACAATATGGGAAATTCTCAATCCACGACAACTCAGCTTCAGCTAAAATCCAACTACCAAAATCGAACTCCTAAAAAACCTCCTCCCAGTTCCTAAACCCACGCCTAACTAATCTACATAAAAGGCGCGAAACAACAACAACAACAGAACTAAAACAGTACATAAAACAACAAACAACACAACAATAAGCGAAAAAAGCAACTGATGACAAGCAACAAGCAGCTCATTTTCGAGTGAGTAAATTAGGTGACACTGGTAGGATGTATGGTAGACAGCAACTGCGCAAAGTGTGCACTAGTAAGCATGGTGTGTGGGCATGTCATGTCTTTCGAAAATGTCATGTCATTCGTCAACGATGGAATGCAGCAAATCAATTCAAATTGTGTTTTCATTGTATTGCTGATGACCACAGTGGCAGTCAGTGTACTCGAAGCAGAGTGCGGTATTCATGGTTGCCAGGAAGCATCCAGCAAATGGCTACATAGCATGATTAGCAAGCCCACCTGAAGACAAGCAAATAATCACAAAAAGATCGTCTCTAAGTTTCATTGCAACATTGTTTGACCCACTTGGTTTCTTGGCACCATTCGTCATAAGAGCAAAATTGGTAATGCAAGAAGTATGGCGAAAAGGCTTCAACTGAGATGATGAGCTAGATTGTGAAGTCAAGCCCAAGATTCAGAGTTGGTTTTGGCCTTCGGGTTGAAAGGATCGAAATTCCCAAACGATCTTCCAAACATTTGAATGAATGCTCCTAGTACCCTAGTCTAAAAATAGCATTCAGGGGCAAATTTGAGTTAGGGTCTGACCCTTACCGTTTTTCAGCGCATCAAATTGTTTATCTTATTTTTGTAAAGTAGGCCTAAATTAGGTTGTACATAAATTGTACATTGATAGCTATATTATATCCACCTACTGTAAATAAATTGACTATTATTATTATTTTTATTATTGTTATCATTTGCCAAAAGTCAGTTTTTTATCTTTGTTTGCAATGTTATGCTATGATGAATTCTCTTTAAGTGGAATGGTTCCGACTACCACATTCTAAAAATAGCATTCGGGGGCAATTTGAGTTGGGGTCTGACCCTTATCTTTTTCAGCGCATCAAACTCAGTAGGTGTGCAAAATTTCATGCTGGTATCACGATTTGCATGATTGAGCCTGTTTTGTGACTTTAGAGCATCCACTATTGACCCCCCCTCTTGCATTGAGTTATATGCTAACTATAACCCTATAGCGCTACTTTCACCTTCCCTTGTTTGCTTTAGGGGAATGTCATACCGTAAATTCTCGAATTGCCCCCCTCCCAAAAAAGCTCCCCGCCTGGAATAAGCCCTCACCCTAGAACTACAAATTGTCATTACGCCCCCTCGAAAAAGTCCCCACTGCTACCGTAAATTCTCAAATTGGACCTCTCAATTTGATAATTTTTCCCATCTGAGGTTGCCTATGGCGTTTTATTGGATTATCACAACAAATTCACACTTTTGGTAGTAATTAATTAAATGCTCGTCAAGAAATTCATACTAAAATTAACAAGGTCTTTTAATAATGTCTTCTTAATGTCTACAATAAGCCCTCCTCGTATAAGCCGACCTCGAATAAGCCCCCAGCCAAAAATATTAAAAATAAATAAGCCCTCAGAGGACTAATTCGAGGATTTACGGTACTTTAATACCTTTTGTTCCAACTAAATCTTTCTCGATTTATCTTCTATTTTTTAAATCAGTCCCCTATAAGATGTATAATATATATTATTTTACCCACATTTTAAGCTTTTTGTCCAGCCTTGAGTCCTTTTAAGCATTTTTCTGGTGCTGCCTTAACTACATTGGTTGGGGTTCCTCTTTTTACCCGAATTTTGTATGAAAAACTGGCTGTAAAGGGTACCTTTCTATTTTCTTTGATAGACCATTGATACATTTAAAAGCATTAAAAACTACACTTCATGTTTTGATTAACATTTTCGGACAAAGGGAGGGGGCACATTGACAAAACAAAAACGTTACTCTGGTTTACTCTATAAATGACAAAGCGGAAAACTCTAGTTTTACTAAACTATACTCTGAACTATACTCTGATTACAGTCAATTAAAAAATTAATCTAATATCTAAGTACAAACTTTATGGTAGTAAAAGTGGTACCCATGCTTCAAAGCACAATATTATTTTCCCACAACCGTGATTGGAGTGTGCGAGGACAGCTTTCTCTTTTTTAGCTTCTCCCTAAAAAGCCAACGGTTATTTTAAGAAGGGATATAAGATCTAGCCCTTTTAAGGTTAAAAAGGGCAAATGTCTTATACCAAAGTGTTTTGGGGCATATGTCTAATACCAAAGTGTTTTTGTTATCATAATGAAATTTTGCAGTTTCCCTTTCGCTATGAATGGGTAGAAATCATTAATTACAACTTTTGTTGCCTTTCAGATATGGAATACTGTTAGAAGGCAAGGTTTGAAAAGTGCTTCGTATTTTTGGGTTGGATCTGAGGTAAACATTGGTGGTAAGAAAAGTCATAATTTTATTACTTAGTGGAGAACAAATTATTTTTCTTGTTTTTTCCCATAAAAATGCAGGGGAGGGGTTGTTCTATCTAGTAGAATCATTTTGCACTCAAAATATTAACATAAATAAGGCGTAAAGATGTGACCAAAGTCAATTGCATTCCTCCTGCAAACGTTTTTTTTGATGGCCTCCATAGCATTTCATTGAAACTCTGGTAATTGAAGAGTCGCTATGGTAACCCAAAGTACTATTTTGAAGTTCAGCCCATGCCCAGACTCCCTTTATTGCTTTGATAAGCCAAAAATTAGTACGTACTATCACTGTTTTGCATATAACAACCTTAATGTTAAAGTTCTTGACATCGTAGTTTAAAAACTCTTAAGAAACAATGAGTGTTTGAATTTCATAAAGAGGCTAGAAACTGGAGTTTATAATGTCGGTCTTTGTCTCTTTAAAAAGAACATTTGAAACCTTCAATCTATGTCACTCAACCTTACATACCTTTAATTTTAATAGAATCTGCAACAATTAACATTCTATTTATCGACTATTCAGTACTATGCAATTCTGCAATGTTAATAGAAAGAGAGCAAGTTGTGGCAGCAAATAATTGACTGCTTTGGTCCCTGCTGTTTATATAAAATAGGACATGAGGATAATGACATGAAAAAACACCGATGCAGCGACCCCCCTTCACATTTTTGTTGTGTCTGAATATTCCTGTAAAATACAAGGATATGTAAATATCGTTGACACTGGGAACTAGATGACCGCTTGTCTTTCCCCATTGTGAATTGCATTGGTTATATTATGTTTTCTTTATAGAATTAATTATGTTTTGCTTGTATAAATAAAATGATAATTATAGATAGCGAAAAACAAGAAGACAAAAGGTGCAGAGAGTCAACGGACACATTCTTGATGAATAAACTTTGAACCATAGAATGAATAAACGTTAAATAAAATTTACTTCATCAGCCCTCTTCAACGCTGACATTCTGCGAGGTTTTTTCTGTCCAACATATTTCTTTTCTGTTTTACCATACAGGATTGCTGCCTAATTATTGGAAAAGATACAATGGGTAAATGTTTATTTCAGTTTCTAAATTTTCTATAACTTAGTTCTTTCTGTATTTCAAGCACATTCATATACTTTCGGAGAAAATGGTTTTACTTTTTAAGCCAGCGGACCAATTTTGATGGACACTTTTATAATATTTCGTTGCCTCGTTAGGTATGTATGAATATTTCTTTCAGCAATGTGCCTTTTGAAGACAGAGTAGACCAAGTTCTCAAATGGTTGGAAATGGACCCGTCTGAAAGGTAACACTTTTTATTAATGCAACATCTACAATAATTATACACTATTTATGATTTGAATAGTTTTAGCTTTTAGCTTAATTACACCGTCTGTGTGAGTTGAGTATCTTTTGCAAACTTTGCAAGATTGTTTTTTGACCTACAGGCTGAGCATAATTTGTTTCTCTCTAGGCCCAACTTGCTGTTGACTTACTTTGAAGAACCTGACAAACAAGGCCATAGTTTTGGGCCTGATTCTGCCGAGGTATAGACGAACTTATTCATTGTCAATCACATGGCTTGCTTTTATTGAATGTCCTTGTCTTTCTTCAAATCTCCACAATTACAAGATGTTAGCAAGGCTATGTTTCTCCAAGTTTCCCAGGAAACTATTTGGAAAGTTATTTGTGTTGCTCTATTGACTTTAGTAAAGACATGTTTAATCTTGCTTTTTTCCAACCCGAGAATTCTAGACAAAAATCTTCAAAGAGTTTTGCTTTTGAAGTACTGTTAAGATCCTATCCATCAAAATTATCAACTTAGTAAAACATCAGCAACACCATGATATATTCTGTCAACAGAACTCTTGAAGGACTCCATCAAAATGTCTTTAGCAATGGCATCAATCTTTCATATCGATCAAAGGGTTTGACATAAATGGGCATATACCTACGATTTTATGATGGTGTACAGTTTTATCATACAGTAAATATTCTATTTGCATCCAGGTAAACAAGGCAATCAAGAGAGTGGACGACATTATAGGGAGGCTTGTCGATGGAATCAGGAAGAGAAACCTCAGCTCATGTGTAAATATAGTGATGACGTCAGATCATGGTGAGTGGACAAGCATGAAATGTTTTGCGCTCGATTTCTCAAATGGCCAATGGAAGTGATCTGCTTGCTTTATTAAAATCGAATCTGCAGCATCAACCATGGCCGAGTCATTGAAAAATGCGAAGAGGTCCCGTCAGTTATTCTAAATCAAAGTCTATATATTGTAAAGGGAACTTAACATTTCCTAGACCTATCAATAAAATTTTTCATTCACATTGCTCTTTGTAACGGGCTCGTTGCCTTCGTAACTGTGGCACTATGCTGTCCATGGGAGGAAAGATGAGGCTACGTTTAGTGAAAGCAAAGACAGTCCTGATGCTTGACCCTCTCAAAATCCTTTTATCGTTAGTTTGCAATTTTAGGTCTTTTTGCAAGATTGAAAACAATTTGAAAGAAAGGGAATGTAAATTTATGGATGAATGGGGAACGCATCAGTGTTTTCTTTACGAAATGATTGTGCCACTTCTATTGAAAATGGAGCTGCAGTATTATCTGTCCAGTGCAGTTGCTGTGGATATAACGACCCTGCTATTGTCTTGTTTTTCTGCTACAAAACTTAAGATTGAAAATCTTTCAAAAATCTTGTAGAAAAGTTTTCTTCCGATGGCTGGTTGCACGTTAACGTAAAGTGTAAAGCCATGCAGGGCAACATCTTGCTAGAATGAATCTTGATTTTATTTTATGCAGGAATGACAAATATATCATGCTCCCGTGCAATATACTTAGATAAGGTACGGTTTCTCCTTTTACATCTAGATAATTTTTGCAAAAGACTGCCTTACTATTGGCCTGCTAATATCATATTACATTTCAGTTTTTCATCATTATATTATCAAAACAGAGACTAGCTGCTAACTCCAAATAAACGCCTCTTGTTTACAAATAAACGCCCCCTTTAGCACAAGAATAGCAGCAAACAAATCATTTTTACACTCAACGTTTCCTAGTGAACGTCCCATTTGTGATATCTTACGTAAATTACAAAAATTGAAAAGAAGAAGCTATAAATTAACTATATATATAATTCTAGTTTATATTTTTAATGACGACAGAAAAAGAAAATTGGGAAATGTTTTGCTTTTATTTCTGAACATTCTGTTCTAATTCAAAATGTGGAATTGTTTCTTTCTGCATCTTTTCGTGAAATGTTTGTCTAACCAATTTGCATTTGAAATAATGCCATTAATCCATAAACGAAAACTTCTACTCCAGAAAAATGTATTAGTATGATACAAAATTTTTATTTCTGGCAACTTTTCTTATTTGCTTCAAAAAGGTAGTATGTTAACGTCGAGGAAGCAAAAGACAGGCCTTTGATGCGAATCCACATGGCATAAATATTCCACTTTTGAAGTTTTTCTGATTTCATTTCATTAAAGTCGTCTTGTCTTTCTGTTACATGTATATCTCAATGAAATAACCTGTCTGATTTCTCGCCATTTTATTAAAAGGCTCAAACTAAAAGATCTAAACATTTAATAAAAGGTTGTAAAGATAAAGTTGCTGTCTCCTTGCTCAATTTTGTTTTCAATATTTTCTTTGGCAGTTCATTTCACTTACTGGGACAAGAGTAGTTGGGCTAGGTGCATCGTCTTTACTATACACAGATAATTCATGTAAGAAAAGCTACTTTGAGTAACTTACACAATATAATGATGTCGGTCATAGTCCCAGTTAAACAATTTCGATGCTATGTCTAGGTGCTTGAAACTTTGTTCGATTGTTAAAGTTTTCCTATAGCTAGATCTGTATGTTGATAATTATTAACGATAATATGCTTAGCACCAATTAAGCACAGAAGTTTGGCCTAATCAGTTTGATTTTGCAAATTTGCTATCGAGATTTCATGCATGGAATTAATTGAAATTTGACATTGACGTGACATTGAAATGTATACCTTTGCCTCAGAAAACTTTTTTAAGCCATATGCATTTAGAACTTGAAATTGTTTAATCTCTTCTAGTAATATTTTTATAGCACCTAATTGCTTGTCTCTCCGTTTGTCTCTTTCATTTTCTTCTCTAATTATTCAATTGCGTCCTATAGCTGTTGCTGCAACAATCGTCCAGCAGCTAAAGGTGAGCTTAAACAAACTTTCACTTTTCGTTCTACTTTATTGAAAATTTCGTTCTGAAACTAGAGTAATGTTTTACTTCCGCGTGAATTTCTTTCTACTGTTTCCACAATAATTTAGCCTGTGCGCAGACTCCAATTATTCAAAACAGAGCCTCAAAATCCAGGAAAAATGTCCCCTTTCTTGCAGCCCATTTCCGCAAACTTCGAAATTAGTGAAGTCAAGCGAAAAAGTCAAGCAAATTTATGATTTTATGGTTGATTTCAAACTCGAAACATTTTATTTCATAGCAAATTTCCGCTATTTACTAACAAACAACATATCTTCTCCAGATAAAACTTAACAAATTTCAAAGACAAACTCACGCTACTTTTTACTACTTATGTAAAAATGAGTGTTTAGCTTAAGACACCTAGAAAAAAGTCTAATGAGCTTTCGGGATAGGTGCCCGTTGTCCCTGCCAAGCTAGAAATCTGAGAATGAATACAAAATTATTTTTCAAAGGATGTATCCTCTTTTTCAATTCATTGTAACATTAGCCATAGTCAGTAAAACTGCTTTAACGAGCTCCTGTATTCGTAGGGTGTCAAGAATCTGAAGGCATATTTAAGAGACGGAGGCAATTTACCAAACAGACTACACTACACCAACAACAAGTAAGTCCCGTCTTAGTTTCCTTGCCTTGTAAATACATTTTTAGCTTTTATGATTAAACTGCTGGTGCTGAAATAATTTCAGAATCAAAATTACCATCTTTCAAGCACATATGTAACTAACAGGCCAGCAAAGTAGTCAAGGGTTGATATCAAAATAAATATATTTCAATTTATAATTACACATTAAAACTGTTGCTTCTTAAGATCATGAAGCCAATAGCAATTTCACGGCAAACTTGCAACAGATGTAGTCGATTTTGTTCCTTTTGAGGTCTTCTTTGGTGTTCTGTCAGATTTAAAAGTTCAAGTACAGAATTTAAGATTGTAGACTTTTCTGATATCATCATTTGATTACATTTTTCCTCTACTCTCCTGAACAAAAAATGTCTTTTCTTGATTCCTTTAGCTTGATTTAAAAATTGAGCATGTGACACTTTCTAGCTGCTTCCATTGATAAATGTTTGAAGTTGCTTGGCCTTTTTAATGTCATTGTGTACATTCCAGGCGCATTGGAGATGTTGTGCTTATTCCAGATCTTGGTTGGAGCATATTGGAAAGGCAAATTTTCATGTTTTTCCTGTAAAACAGCTTCTAATTGATGGACCTAAAGAAAGTTTGTCCATGCTGACCTGAGTTCAATTGTTCGTGATAGACAGGGCTAAACCCCTGGGAGCATGCTACTTGTACCAACACACTGCCCTTAACAATCATTGCCATTATGAACCATATCCATATTTAAGTCTAACAAAATATTTAGTTCTAACAACAGGCTGCTCTCTAGACAAAAGCAAAAGTTCCTTTGATACTGTGATCAAATGATTTAATTTGATTTTATGCTATGATTTGATTCGATTTAGCAAGAAACTGAATGATTTTGTTTTACATTCTACTTCAGAAATGGAACTTGCCGTGCAAGCTACAGGGGCACCCATGGCTATGACAATTCTTATGCAGATATGAGGGTTTGTTACTGAAGTAATTTTCAATTCTAATGCTAGATTTATATCTGGCATGAAATAAATATTTTTGATTTTATTTATGGGATAGATGGTTTGCCTATTTCAGCTTCAATTCTTGGACGCCAGGTATCAAAACACTGCACAAACTCAGAGAGATAAAGATTGCACGCAATTATGATTGGTTTTGGGGTACTCCTACAGAAACTTTTTACTCCAGAATGGCATTTTTTCAACGTTCCAGCTGCTTATTTAGAGAATTAGAAACACTCAATGGGTGTTAAAGCCTGTAAAATGGCGAGGTTTTGGGGAAGCTGAGTATTTTAATTATCTTTGAACAGGAACTGTAAATTTTTCCGATTCTTCAAGTCTAGCAGTCATCTAAAGCTAAGTATTTTACGATCGCAGAAATACAAAATCTCCAATAGGATCAGATGGACGGTTCCCAAGCAAAGCAGCTACATTGATATAACTTATTGAATGTCGCTTTTCATATGGTATCACAGAACATTTTTCTATTTTTTCCGAATCTGCTTTTAATTTGTTTTGCCTATCCTCATTGTAAGTGTGCGTTGTCTTAACCTCTGGATTTTGTTATGCACACACTTGATGAACCTTTGATTGATCTAACTTCTCTTCTAGGGCATATTTGTCGCCAATGGACCTGCATTTAAGAGAGGCCTCATTGCTCGCCCTTTTGAAAACATTGAGATTTATAATCTCATTGCTGGTGTGTATATCTTTTACATGCTGCACACTACTTGGATGAATTTTATTACACAAAAACTTTTGCATTTACTTAGACGAATTCAAATCTACCTTTGCAACATATTCCTGTACAACTTAAATTTGCTTCTGTTGCCCTTTTCTAGAATTGTCATTTTCACAGTGAATGTTAACTTAGTAGGAACTTTCAAATGGGTGTATCTAAACCTGGTTTGATGCTGCACCGGATTCATTGATCTTCCTCAAGCGTTTTCAGCTTTTAGCTTTGTTTTGATTTGTTTCATTTCTCTGAAGCGATCGTCTTAACATCCCTCTTTCACTCCATAGAAATACTCAATGTGAAACCAGCACCAAATAATGGGACATTTGGAAGTCTTTCTTACTTTTTGAGAAAATCTACCAATTGATTCCATTCCAACCATTGCTATGGCAAGCAAAAAGCAGAAGAAATGAAACGAGTTTTTATTAGAGACAAACATAAGAAATTGTAATCTGGTTTTGCCTGAAATATACGATAAGTTTTTATCAGTTTTTTGACTGACAGTTTTGACTCAGGTGAGTTAAGATTTGCCAGAATGAAGACTGGCACATGGACCTTTTAAATCTAGCAGAAAGTATATGTGACATCAGGGTTCTCACCGGCCTAAAGTTTTCCACGGCTTCCATATGAATATGAAGTATGAGGGCGACTTCCAGCAAGTATTAAGGCGGCATTTACCTAGCTTTTTACGTTGGTAGAACTACACAGATTTTGCACTAAGGGTAGAGCCTAAGAAAAATATTTTGATTAGCCTCAACAGATTTAGGCCAAAGGCCTTCTGCGTTGAACATTCATCTCTTCTTTGCTACAATTTACAAATATATTTGCGCATTTATTTGTTTTGTTTACACATCAATCTGATGTTGTAGTTTTTGTTTCTTGGATGTTCAAAGAATAAATTTCAAAATAGCACGGAAAAACGAAAAACGGGTCACACTAAAATAGTTTTCGTCTGAGTCTCATCAGATGATGTCCAAAGGTAAGCAGAAAATTTATATCCAGATGTAGATTGAAAATAACGTGAGAGGAAGAATAGCGTGTTTGATTGGTTCTTTGTTCTTGACCAATCGAAGACCAATTGACCAATCTCTCACCCAGTTGGAGAGTCCAAGAGACAAAACGAATGCCCTTTCTGTCTACAGATATCGGGACCCTTTGTTTTGATGTAGACAAATTCCAAAACACCTGTATGAAAAACGCCAAAATAAATTACAGTGAACGATGCGTCATTTCAAAGTGTATGCTTTTATTTTCCATAATGTGAATAAATTTAGATATGAGCATTGTTGGGAACGAAAGCGATAAAAAAGCTGTTTTGTGAAAACAACTGCTAGATTAAGCATCGATTTGGTTCATCATGTAGATCGTGCTAAGTTGTTTTCTCTTGATATAAACTGCATTGCTATTTATCTGACTTAAATTTGCGTCTTAAAAACCACGACGACATCGCCTAAACACTTTCATCTATCTAATATTATACATGAACCTACAATGGTTATTACTTAGATGTTTCAATAATAATAAAAAATTATAAAAAATTATTAGGATAATCAGCAACAAAAAATTAAAGATGTTTTTAAAATTTCTTCTAGAATAGATTTCAATTGATGTATAAGGTAAAGGTAAAGGTTATTCCCGTATTTCATATCGAACGTTGGGGAATGTGCTGTTAGGGGCGCATCCGCCCGAACCACGGCATTGTGTGGTAGGGTGGCCAGTTCCTCTCCACGTTGATATATGATTAATCTATATATCAAGTTTATTTTTAGTACTTTTTTACACTTTTATGAAAGATTAAATACATGTTTTTTACTTGATGAATAGTGAAAAAGGGCTGGTTATAATTTCGAATATTAAACCTATATAAAAAATTTCAACTTAAGAGAGCAGTTATCAACGTGTGTCCAGGGTTGACATCTAGTTGCAGAGTTTTGATATTTTCGTTATAATTTACTCTCCTGTATGCAATGCAGTTATCAGTGAACAGACACACTTTGTTTTTCTATGCTTTTGGTAAGTCATTGATGAAAAGTATGAATAAAATGGGGCCAAAGACTGATCATTGAGGGACACGTAATGTTACTTTCACTTATTCGAAGTTGATGCTGTTAAGGACAACGATTTGACAAGAAGTTTAAAATCCATTTGCACAGATGCCCACTAATTCCACAATTTTCCAACTTGTGAATGATTCTCTTGTGTGGTGCCTTATCAAAAGCTTTTTGGAAGTCTGAGTATAACATTGTTTTGATCACTTCTCTCTAGCGAGCTTGCGATGTCATCAATGCAAAAAAGCAATTGTGTTCCACACTAACAACGATTTCTAAAACCATGCTTGGCTTCATACAATGCGTTGTAGGTTTCAAGATGATCAACAATTTTAGAACAAACAATATGTTCAATGATTTTGCATGCTTTGCACGTGAGTGAGATAGGCCTGTAGTTGCTAGGGTCGTTTCTGTTCTCTTTTTTGAAGACTGGTGTAACATTCGCCTTTCATTTTGGGTAACTTCTAGATAAAGAGACCTTTGGAACACCTTTGCTAAGACTGGTGATATGTTTAGGGCATATATTTTTGGGAATCTGGAGGGGACTTCATCAGGGCCCGGAGCTTTATGCATACCAAGGTTTTGCAGCAACTTGATGACTCTTTTCCCATCTACTTTTAAATGTATTGGGACTTGAATTTTATCAGTCCACGAGCTAGGGATAGATTCACGATCTTCTGCTTTATTAAATGCAGACCGATATTGCTTATTTAGATTGTTTGACTTTGATTTTTGTAAAACGTAGATGTAAAACCATCCTTAGCTGGTAAAACGGCGAGAATGATTTCGTGTTCGATGTTGAGTTTTAGGTGCATTGTTTATTTCTACTCTCAGAGCCGGATTAACCCAAAGGCCAACTAGGCCATGGCCTAGGGCCCCGCGCTAAACAACTTCAATTTTTTGATCCATGGTAAGATTTTGACCCAAAGTAAATTTTCTGATCCATGATCCATAATGGCAACGTCACTGGAATAGAACATAAGAGCGGCATCTTTGGCACCAGCAAGGAAACTTTGTGATGTGCAAGGAATATGTGTTCATCTAATGTGCAGTATGCGCAATAATTTAATTGTTTCAAAAATTGTTCTTTCTGCTATTGGCCATGCAATGACAAGCTGTGTTACTTGTTTCCCTTGTGGATAGAACCATCAGGGTCGCATAATATTGAAGTCGTAGTATAATAACGATTGACCACTAAATCTTCAATTTTGAACGCACGAGGAGAAAAAGCTTGTTAAAAAGTTTGTGAATTTAGAAAATCAGTTAAATCGGTTGCATATTTTATGTGATACGGCCATTTGAAAATTCGTAATGGATTACTGTTAATTTAGCTTTGTTCAAAGAATTTATAGCTGAGGCAGGACCCTTGTTTTTCTTACTTCCACGACTGCCATAAAACAGAATATGTATAATCTTTGCTTGACATGAAAAAGAAGATCGCCCTTGATTAGGTGTTCTGTTCTATGTCACTGTTAACTTTAAAAAGAAGCTCTTTAGCATTTTGATTCTCAGAAAATTTCTGAAAATTGCAAAGCAAAGTTCAACGCAGTGATTTCCTACAAAAATCTATTCATTTCTTTTTACTCAAAAATGAACTTTTCAAAATCAGCCATGGTTGGCAACAGAATGTGCTGCCTCGTATTGGACATGAAAAGGAGGATGAGCTTTGAAAATGCAAATGTGCGCAGATGTCGAATCTTGTTGGGAAAATCATGGCCGCTTGTGAATGTGGAAAGTGATCCTGGATTTTACTGTGCGAATGGTGATTGGAATTTTAATTAGTTATTTGTAGCGAGATTATTCATCATGGTTCTCAATGGTTCGCCCGGTAAACCAGAAGAAAAGATGACATCTCTAGGGCCTACTGGCCCAATTGCCAGCAAACTTCCCACATTGCTTGAAAAGGACAAGAAGGTCGCAATCGATGAGTCGAGGAAAGCGTTTTATAACAGGAGAAGGATACAGATCGGTGGAATACCGCGTGACAGCTCGACAAAGGTAACCTTTCAGTTAGTTTTTTTATGATTTGAGCGTAACTGGCATCCGAGTTAGGTTCAGCCAAGTTGAATTCTGAGCTATCAGTGAATGGAATCTATTTTCACTACAATCTCAGATAGTGTACACTCATTTTATGATAAACTTTCAATTAGAAATGAGTACTTGAATTCAAAAAAATATAAGAAAGGTCGGAACTCGATACAAAACAAATTAGGAAACAGTTAGAATTAAAAAAAACTTCATGCGATTAACTGGTTTGCACAAAACATTTTATGGAAGCAATTAAATGTCAAAAATTTCTACAGGCAACTTGAAAAATCTCTTATATGCTCTGTTTTGATATAGAATACAAAAATATGAAGGGAAACTTCTACCAGCATATAAAGATACATGATGGATTGTGTTGTGAAAACTATGCATCTAATAAAAAAACTCTTGAGAAGCAACAAGTGCTGATATTTTCCATTTCTCAAAAAACACGTTTTTCCCAGTTGTTTAATGTAAGACCCAGGTAAATATTGCTAGTTGAATTGAAATGGATTTATAAATATATATCTGAACCCCGGGTAAAGCATGCCATTTAGTGAATAAATTTTTTGGATGGAAATGGACGGAAAATGATGATTGCATGTTTCATTGCACATCATTAAATGTACAAGCATGTAAAGCCTTTGAAGGTAATGTGTCCATATGAAAGGGGGTTTGTATACCCAACTTGTCAAGTAACATCAAAATAACGGCTTGCGATTGGCCAGTTTACTCATGCCCCACATATTTGCAAAACAATAGATGTTTTCAACAAAATTTTCTGTTATGAGTTTTTTATTTGCTTTTGCCTCGCAACCCTCTACTTTCCAACTTGTGTTGGAGCCTATGGCACCTATCTGGCTTTATTTTTGATAGCATCACTTTCATTGGGCACTTACTTTCAGCATAGCATGTATTTTTGGAAATTAAAAATCACACTCACTTTCAGATGGTGCTAACTCTTGGATTATGCTTATTTTCAGAATTTTTTGGCACTTACCTTCTAATTTTTTAGCACTCATCTGAGATTCTAATTGCCTTTCAATCTTTAAATTAATCATTTTTGAGCAGTTTATTTAAGATGCACTATCCAAAGGAAATTTGATTTTTTTAACTATAACTTGCTTCTATTACAGTTAAACGTTAAGTGAAAAGATTGAAAGTGAAAAAAGGTCTGAAATAACAGATTCATTCTAGGCAAAAAGGGGAATGCAAAATTTTTAAGGCTTCCTAGCTTAATTCCTTTTTTCTGCCCTGCATACTTTCAAGGTACTGATTTTCAGATTTGACATTTTTGTATGTTATATTTGCTGCAGATACCTAGTTTTTGGCCTGCACATGACATCTATCTCCTCCAAACAAAAAGTTATTGTAAAAATAAGGCAATGTTGCTCAATTGCTGGAAGCAAATCTTCCAATTTTTTGTCGAAAAACTACAGCTTTAACGATTCAGATATCCTCTGTTCATTTTTACATGCAATTGTAGTTCAGGAAAATATTGATATGGTATCTGCTTTTAGCAATTGAGCTGTTGTATCAGGACTGAGTGGAACTGTGAACTTAATAGAAATGCAGTTTTCCAAACATCAATACCAATTCATCAATGTCTGACCACAAGTTGCACCCTTGAAGTTTACATGCAGGCCTAGTTTTACTTGAATTTTTGCTTTCAGGCACACAATCTTCTTTCATGCAGGTCTTTTCATTTGACGCAAGCGATCACTCGCAATCGCGTCAGCACTCAGGCAAACCCAACCACACGAGCATTTGATTGCTTGTGCCAAATGGTAAATTGTATCTCTTGTGAACCAAGCAAGTGACATAGACAATATCTCAAAACACAGGAAATATAAGTAAGCTGACTTAGTCACATCTCAACATAAAAATGCATTTGAAAATCAATTTCATAGCGAATGTTTAGGAATACGTTGGGTAATTAGCATTTGATCTACAATAGCACTTTAGACATTATCTGGACAGTAAAGGCTTTTTTAAAAAGGGATGGAAGAACATTTGCGATCATCCGTCAATAACGTCTTTATGACCTTTACGATTTACATAAAAATCATAAACCAAGCACACTTATAAAGGGGGTTTAGTCTTTCTCGGAGTGCATTAAAGGTCATCGCAGCAGTTATTTTTCATTTGGTGTTACTTCAAACAAAAGGGTTCCTTATAACAGGGTCAATTTGTTCACTATCAGAGCGATCGCTAGTGCAAGAGAAATTGCGTGAGCAATGGGCCACTCGTGTGGACTATTTCTCACATAAAGGCATGTTCATGATTATAATACATAATTTCCATTGAGTTCCGATCAGTTGCTTTAGTTGAATGTGTTTTTTCAAAATTGCTGTAAAATTTCTTGAATGGGTTGCTTATTCCTTAGTACTGTTACTAAGGATAACTGGTATCTTTGTGTTCCTGCTTTGTCAAATTATCCTAGGCCAGATGACAAGCCCAGAAATTGATTCTGTTCATGACAAGTCTTGAAATTTCTCCTGATGCGGGTCTTCCCTTGACCACTGAAAATTTGATGAACCATTATTTTTTATGCATTGTTCATTGCTTATTTATATTTTATTAGAAGGTCTTTAATAATCGGACATAGAACCCTGTTTCTGATTTTAAAAAGCTGATGAGTTCAGAAATGGTTTATCCATTCCCTGTCTCTGTTTGCTTTTTCTCACATGCATCAAGAAATGGAGAGGCAGCTGCACTTTTAGCAAACCTTTAATTACAAATTTAAGCACAAAGTTCCAAAACAGAAAGAAACCAATTCTTAAAATATTTTTCATAATTGGACAAACATTGATAAATATAATACAATTTCTCACCATTTCATGATATTTGTGATTCATTTTTACATAAAGGCACTAATTTATCTATCTAGATTCCTTCTAATCAGCTTGCGATTGCCATCTTCCTTAAAAAAATCCCTTCCAGTTTCTTGTCTTTTGCTTTGTCTTTATTTCTTTGTCAGTGGATAGCACTCCAAAGCAACTTTGTAATGCACATGTTCTACTTTTCATTGTCAAATTTTTGCCTGCAAACTTTGTGCCAGTGTTTTTCATATCAGAGGCGGATCCAGAAATAAAACTGATATTTTCACCAGGAAAGAAGGGGTTGCATGAATGGGCGTAATTTGAAAATGAGTATTATTATAAATTTGTGCCTGGAAAACCTGGTTAGTATTTAACATGACTTAATTATGGGGATGTTTCAACATATACTACTTTTTGATCTAACAGAATAGAAAGCCAGCCAGCTCAGTTTGTTTAAAAACGTGTATATGATAGTCAAATTAATGCAGACTTACAAGGCCTAAGTAAGGCCAAACTCTAGTAGACTTAAAGCCATTAAAATATATCTATAAGATGCAACTAATCTTGTCACAGGTCGAAAGCTTGGTATAGATTTATCACAAGGCAAAAATGAAGTAAAAATAAGAAAAATTAAAAGTAGGATTAGCACAAACCTGAAACCTTGCACAGCAAAGGAAAACAACATTTCCTTGATTGAACTAAATAAAAAAATTTTGGTATAACTTCACGACTATTATAAGCTTAAACAATTGCAACCCAAATAATTATCAGGTCAAGAAGAAAATATATGATTGATAGCAGGAACCTAGAGAAGTTTCCACATCTTTGAGACATTCAAATTTTGATTTACTGCGATCTTCGCGGGCTTTCTTTACCCTACTTTACTTGATTGAATTGAATCATCCAGCCTGTGAGAACTCCTGAGTTCTCACCAGAATTTCGCTATTCTTTTTCAATGGATAATCTACGTCAGAGTTTCTCATCAACTACGTCAGAGTTTCTCACCAACTACGTCAGAGTTTCTCACCAGAAACAAAAGAAGACAATCTTTGTCTTTTTCGACTCGCACACGAAACTAATTTATTTTCGAGTTCTCACCAATTAATTGGTGTAAAATTAAAATTCTGCACTTTCATTGGCTGACAAAACAACTGCTTAATTTATTCCAAAAATAAAACAATAGTCCAGATTGAGGGGAATTTGAATCTCAATAAGATTGGTTTCACAATTAGGCAACTGTATAAGAGACTTTGCACTAATATGATATTTCTTCATTCTGCTATTGTTATGCTCTTGATACTAATGTTTCATTATATGTTCTGTGACATCGTTGCATCTTTTTCCAGTGATGTTTCATCTTTTTACCTGTACCTTTTTCCCTTCTTTGTAGGAATTGTCACAGACATTGTTGAAAAACTTTGATGTGGTGTATATTTTAGTTAACGAAAAAGGTTTTGGTATGTATTTTGTTATCTTTCATCAAATTGCGCATCTCTAAGTTCCATTGTTAAGATCGTTTGGTTACATTTATAAAGATTTAGAAAGCTTTCCATGTTTTATATATATATATATAAATCGAATATTTTAACAGGATAACCTATCAGTACAATATGTACTGTTGTCATTAGGGTCCTGATACTTAATAAATTAATGGTAAGATCTAAAAACGGATTACAAAAGTTCAATATAGTCCAATCTAAAGATAAAATAATTTTACATCAATTAAAATAAGTTTCTAAAAATCGTCTAAAAATAGTTCTAGATTTAATCTTTCTTGCACTTAGTGGCAGGTCATTAAATTCCTTTCCTGCCTGATAGTAAAAACCTTTGCGTCCAAATTCTGTTTTCACTTGAGGCAACTTGACTAGATGTTTGTCGTTTCTAGTATTTTTCCCATGAGCATTTATAACGAAGTAATCTGTCATTGCATCACAAACATTGCCTTGTAAGGTATCAAACACCAAATTACAGGACCTCTTTTTCACTCCTGCATTGATACTGGGCACACGCCCAGTATCATTTTCTTTTTGTTGCCGGTTTAGTGCCAGATGAATGATGCAGATGATTCTTAATTTGGTGATATTTTGAACGTTTTATTGTTATTTAGGCCATCATTTAGTGTAATTGTATTTATTTTTGTACTGTACTGTAGAATTCTAAATAGTATTCTTATATTTGTGCGTTCATATTTGTGAATATTTTATGGACCTGGTGTTGTAATTGTTGTCTGCAGTTGGAACTTGTTGAAAAAACTGCATCCTTTAGCTTGAAAAGTTGAAGGTAGCTTGAAAAGCTGAACCAAAACATGCTCAATTGAAACACAACATTTTGCTCACAATGTTCTCATTCTAGCTGTTGGAGTATTAGTTGCGTAGGTTTTAGCGTCTGAACGGTTTTGAAGGCTTCTGGGAATTGAAAAATAATCAGTCTGTGGAGGTGCCCATAGGCCTGGATATTGCAAGATAAAGATAAAGCTTTCTTTCAGAGGTTGATTTCATAAGCCCAATGCCCAATGATTTGATATTTACCATTTATCTTTGCCCTTTTAGCCCATGTTTTATTGAAAAATACGGAGGAGGCCGAAAAAGCAATGTCGTTTGTTAAAGGGAAGCTATTTCGTGGAAATATGGTTGCAGCTTCGTTTTCTCAAGGCGAATTCTTGGTGTTTGTGGGAAACATTCCATATTCATACAGCGCTTTGCAATTTAAAAACATTGTCAAACCATTTGGTGAAGTTGAACGCGTCATTCTAATGAGAAGTGAGCTTACTGGCCAAAGCAAAGGCTACGGATTTGTGGAATTTACGTACAAGGCTGCTGTTGAAAAGGCCTTGAAAGAGCTTGGTACTGTGCACAAAGGCTTGAGGGTAAATTTGGCGAACCCTGGTCTTAATGAGTACTATGATTTGCAGTCACAGACTCTGTATGTCAACCAGTTTCCTGCAAGCACCAAAAGTGAACAAATTGAAGAGCTTTTTGACAAACATGTCCAAGTACCATTCTGCAAGGTAGGAATATTTTTTGGGATTTCAATTTTGTTTGGTCTTAAGCCGTCAATATTTTATTCACAAATGAGCTTGAATTTTTCCGAAACTTTTAAGCTCATTTTGAGTAAGTTGTAGCCCAAGCTGTGGCAGAAAGGGGGTTGATTTTTGCAAATCACTGCTAGACCTCAGGGATGCACAATAAATATATTGCTTACATATGTAATTTCTTGCTTTTTCTTCAATCATAAATATTGATGCTCTAACTAGACTTTTAATGCTTCTATTGCAGATTCCTTTGAACGATTCCACTGGGAAACCATGTGATTTTGCGCTTGTTGATTGCAAATCCCCAGAGGATGCGGAAAAGCTTTGGAAAGAACTCGACGGTAACAGTATTAATGGCGGAACGATGCGGGTCTCATTTAGCTCGCCTGGTCGACTGGCTGCAACCTCGTTTGGTGGACCCCAATTTCAGGTGAATATATTTTTCTGACCACAAGTTCCTCTTTAAAACAGTAAATGGGCATAAGTCTATTTAATTTGGGGGGCCTGAGATATGGGACAAATTGTGCAGGATGTCAAGCATACGCCAACTCTTCCATATTTATATTTGGTTCGTAAAGTATGTAAAGTAGTCTCGGCAAAATGGCAAGGCTACTGTTGTTGAAAAATATGAATTAAATGAAAATTGTATTGAAGTTGTCAAGATATCGAATTTCTCTTCCCTGTCTGTAATTAGACACAATTAATTTAAGGAACAATGATTTTCTTGTAGGCAACAAGAACAGTCGTAGAGAGCACTGTGACCAACAATCTTACGTCATCAACTGAGACAAGACTAAATAATAACAAAGATATTGCAGCTCCTCCAAAGAAGCCAGAACAACCCCGAAACAAGATAAGTACGGCAACCAAACAGCTGCCGCAGAGTTCACGCCCGGCTGCACTACTGCCTAGTCCCCCAGGGCCCAGACCTCCTGGCCCGATCGACTTTAGAAGGAACCCTGGAACACCAACAAGGCCTGCACCGAACCGTCCAATTCGAAATATGGGGTTTGAACAAAATATTGGTTTTGGTGCTAATGTGGGTGGAAGAGGACAGAGAATGCCAGGCCCAGGTGGACCCCCAAGAGCAGTGGGCCCCCAAGGTGGACCACCACGCACAGTTGGACCCTCAGGTGGACCTCCACGCACAGTTGGACCCTCAGGTGGACCTCCACGCCCAGTAGGGCCCCTAGGTGGACCACCACGGGGAGTCGGCCCTAGAGGGCCACCAAATGTTCCTGTTCAAAGAGGAGGGTTTGGTCAATCCAATCCTAGGGGGCCACCTGCTCCCCTGGATGGAAGGCCGCCTCGACCAGGAAATTTAAGGGGAGATTTACGTTCTGAAAGGCCACGGTTTTCTGGAGATTTTGCGTCTGGACCTCGGGGTCCAAGGCCTAGGAGTCAGTTTCCTACCCAAGATAGACCACTACTACACACTGACCCTCAGTCTAGAGGAAGGCAACCAGAAGGGCCCTTACCTAGACCACCAAGGCCCAGGGGGCCTTCCATACCAGATCAAAACAGACCCAATTTTCCACCTGAAGACCGTTTTCCCTCGAAAGGTCCACATAGTAGGCCACTGCCTGATGAGCCACTTCGAAGGGAGCCTCCTTTTCACCCCAGAGGTGCTCCAGTTAGAGAAAATATTAGATTTGACTCTGACAGGCGCAATCCTCCCTCACGTGACATCAAAGACGACAGACAGGTGCCAGGTCAAAGGAACAGGTCTTGGCACGAGCCAGAAGAGATGGAGGAAAGACGGACTTGGAGAGATGTACCGGATAACAGAAGACCGATTTGGGACAAAGGGCAAGAACGAGCTGACACGGAAAGAAACAGCTGGTCACGTGATCGAGCTGAATTGCATAATGAGTTTGAAGAGCCGGGTGGATTTGACGGACATCGAGGATCGCAGCCTCACTTTCAAGATCAGAGAGGTCGTCCTGCCAGGGAGCCTCCAAATGAGGTCTGAATTTTAATTGTTTTTATTTTTTCACATGAATGGCGGCGAAACTTTGGCATTTTTGAAGAGTTTGAAGAGAGAGACTTGAGCTATGAATGCATTTATTTAACTGTGTTCATTAAAGTCCCTTTTTGCCTGGTTTATTTTTAGTGCCGTTTCATTTACGTTTCTGCTACAAGGTGATCAACTTTACCAGATCGATTGATAATTTGAGTTATAATCTAACTTGTCCATCCTTTGAATGTCCCCTGCTTTTTTGCATTTTCAATGCTGTTTTCAGCTGGTCTTTAGTTTTTGCAAGCTTTTTGCTTTTTAAAGCATGAAAAGTTTGGGCTAGATAGGACTGTGCCAGTGTCGAATATAATACAAATTACAAATTTAGCGGCGTTTTTATTTTGATTTTTGCGAAAAATGTTTGTATCGGAGAGCTCAGTCTTGAATTGCATTTAAAGAGGGAGACGAATTTTGGGTCAATTTTTGCATTGGGATGTTCATTATTGGTAAGAATGCTTTCATGTGCAATTCTAAATTTGCGTTCTCTTAGCAACGGGAAGACCCGAAAAGAAGGCCTCCTTTTGACAGAAGACGAGATTTTGATGCACGTAGCGAAAGAGGAAGAGAGTCACGGTTTGGCAGCGATGGACATAGAGGGCCACCTCCTGGTTTGTCTCTTCTATATACATCGATTTTTTATAGTCTTGATCAAGTGTTATACTCTGTTTTTTATTGGAATCAGATCTTTAACATTTCTTACTAGTTTCATGCAAGTCGCTTTCATCTTGTTATCACTTCAGCAGCCATTTCCTTTTAATCTTAAAGTTGCTTTGTAAGGATAGAAACTACTTTTTATAAACGATGTTGCCGCCTGCAATATGTAGACTATTTTTTTATTGTTGTGGAATCTGTGGCATAAGAAGTAAGAAGATTTAGATAAAAAGAAATTGAGCAATGGTACAATTTTCCCAGTGTTTTACCGTTGCTTTTTAATAGGAATATCTGCATTTGCAATGAGGAAGTTTTTATTGTAATCTTTTGGTAATATTTGATCATGTCTTATAGGACATGAAGAGCCCTGGACGCGGGAGCGTTCCCCTCATCGAGGATACCCAAGAGAACATACACAAAATGAGCCAAGAGAGGTTAGGACCAAACCTATTACTTGATTTTTTATATCATTCATTTTGTTTTGTCACAATATTCGCTTTCATATATCCTATACGGCTGTTAATGGTGATATTTTTAGTTGCATTGCTGTACAGATGATATTTTTAGCTCTACACGTAGATCAATAGCGCTGCTTGTTAAGAGTCCTAATCTTTAATGAACAAAACTCTGTTTTTATGTATGTAATTTAGCTCTACACGTAGATCAATAGCGCTGCTTGTTAAGGGTCCTAATCTTTAATGAACAAAACTCTGTTTTTATTTATGTAATTTAGCTTTACACGTAGATCAATAGCGCTGCTTGTTAAGGGTCCTAATCCTAAATGAACAAAACTCTGCAAAAAGTATTGTACAAAGTTTTATAACGTATGCCAATGGCCTTTCTAACTGGCTCAACCTGTTACTTCGAATGTACTCTTAGTCAATTCGATTACTGTCTAAGGCTAATTTGTTTTCTGCTCTTCCAAATCAAGGAGCCCAGACCTCCGTTCCAGCAAAGAGCGCCTTGGAAAGAGCCTCCTCCAAGAAAAGATTACAATGAACCTCCCACTGATGAAAGGTGGCCGAGAGAAAGACAGGGTATTCCTCCTGCAGGGCACTTAGATGAACGAGGCCGTAATTTTCATGATGAACTGAGAGGACATGAAAGAGAGCAATTCCCTAGAGACATGGTGCAAAGAGATGATGCAGATCGTTTCAGAAGGAATGACATCCGGGAACCTTTTCAACCCCGGTTTGATGAAAGACAACGTTTACCACCTGATCAACATCCGCAACAACAACACCCACCTGAACAGCAATTCCCACGTGAAAGACTGCCGCCGGCCAATTATGGACCAAACCAGGGACCTCCTGCTCAGGGCCATTTTGGAAGTGGTCCCCCGCCCCATGATAGACAACCACTGCCGTTGCCTTCTCAGGTAAGCATATTTGGTATTAGATGTTTGTCGTGCTATAAATAGGCTCGTGCTATAAATAGCTGCGATATTTCATTTTTTCAGGTCTGAATTTGTGCATGTAACCATTTTAGTTATTATTATGCAGCAGGCTTTGAGTGAAAGCCAACACACAGATAATAAATGTTTAACGTAAAAATTTTTGAAAGCTAGAAGACCACTGGACCAGGTCAACTTAATTTATATGTCTACTTGCTTTCTGCAAATCTAATTCCAAAACACTGGGGCATTTGGTTGATTGAAGTTGCAACACTGTGTAACTGCATGCACAATTAAACGTACAATAGAGATCTTAGCCAAGTGAGAATAAAGTGACGATTTTGCGGTAATTTTTTCATAACATGATATCGGTTTGTGAAATACAACTACATACATATGACAGGTTGGTGACGTGCAGGAAATGCCTAGAAATGACTTTATGTCTGGCCATGGTGTTCCACCACCAAGGTTTGAAGCACCAACAGCTTTCCAAGATCAGCGCTCCAGAGGTATGTCTCAGCCACAGGACCAAAGATTCCCCCAACCTCCATGGCAGCAGCAACAACCAGTAGCACAACAAGAGCGCTTTGCGCCTCCTCTTGGCGAGCCAAAATTCCCAGGACACGGGCCCAACACAATGCCGCCGCAAATGCAGGGCCCGCTTAGCTCTTCCTCTGCTCCAACGCAACTGTTTCCACAGCAGGCTCCAGGACAACCTGTTTCATCTGCACCAACCTTGATGCAACCAGTGCAAGCCCCGCCAGCCCCGCAGCAGCAAGGTATTTACTTTCCAGCTCAAAACCAACCAACTGCCAGTTTTATTCCTTCATCAGCACCAGTGATGACAACCACAACGACAAGTGTTGCGATGTCCATGCCAACTGTGCCAGCAATGACTGCATTGCAGATGCCATCAATACCAGGGGCAAATGTTTTGCCAGCTGCAGGCGCGGTCCAACTGCAACAGGGTGCTGCCTCACAACCAGGTGTGCCTTCATTGCAGCAAGCCCCAGGAAGCGCTGCTACTCAACCAGTGGCAAGTCAACTAGATACTTATGTTGCAGCAGCGTCGGCAGCTCAGCAGTATGCACAGTATTATGAGGTATGCACTTTCATGTTCAGCTAATCAGGCCTTTTGAGCGTCTAGAGGATTTTATTGGCTAAAAAGCACGACACAACGTAGACAATTTTCATGTTGCTTCTTACCTTTTGTCGTTCATGGTTCTTTCAATTTATTCATGGTCCTTTCAATCTGTTTTTCATCTCTTATAATTTTCCCGTTTTGCTGTCACCTATGTTGTGTTCTAAGGTGTTGCATTTTTACGACAAGATGCGCATTTATTTTTCCATTTTTTAAAGCCCTAAAAATGCTCCAATTACATTATCCTTAAACACTTCAACCATCCTTCCTTTGAAAGCCTCCCTTAATCAGTGTCTTTTCTGTTTTTAGCAACTGGCAAAGCAACAAGAAGCAATCAGCCAGCAACCTGTAAGTTATTCCCCCTTCTCCATGTGCATCGAAAGGAAAAATCTTCGTTACATAGGCAAATAGTTGAGGATTAACGGGCCATTCTTTATCTCACACCTTTTGAACCCCCCCCCTCCCCCCAATCAAATTATCCGCTTATACTTTTGTCAGTGTTCACAGTTGTTTAGAACTAATATCTCTATTGATTTTTATTTTTTATGCAATTTTTCCTTTCCTCTATATTTCAACACGAACCCCTTCCAAGATACTTGGTAATATATTAGGTCAATCATTCATTAGAGAAAGTAACACCCAAAATAGAAAAGCCATTGATGCTACTCAAACAAGGAGTTCGTGTTCGGGTTACTCACCTTCAAAAGGGAAGTCTTTAGACCCCACTTGAAAATGAGCCTATCTGACGTTATTCTGACGTGGCTGAATTTGCTTTGGAAAAATGACGTCAGTGCTCTGAGCTCTCAGCAGTTCAATATAGTATAAGCTTTCGCCTGCAGAATATTTATGCAACAGTGATATATGCAATTACTGTTCATGTCTGTTTTAGTCTGCTCCGGGCTCAAAGGACGCTGCGAATTTGGCCGCGCAGGCAAAAGCATATGCGCAGTACTATCAGCAATATTATCAACACATGCAGTCCATTCTACAAATGGCCAAAACCCAACAGGCGACACGCACAGCTCAGCAACAGCCAGGCTCCGTGACAGCTCCTGTCGTCCAGGTATTACTTTGATGCCTTTTGCATTAGCATCGAAATATCTAATGGGATTCACTAGATTTATTTTCATTGCAAATGTTGATATTTCCTCTCTTGATACTTGTCAGTTTCCTAAAGGCTTAAGAATACAATGAATTAGACGGATAATACTGCAAGTAAAGGCCAGTTTCTACTTCATGTCAATTCCAATTCGTGTCATTTCAACAATCAAGTCAATAGATCAACGAGTCAGGATCAGTGAATCATTGCACATTTGCAACTCTAAGGCGTGCTCGTACAGTTTCGCTATCACAGCTTCGTTACTAGATTCTATACGACATTATTGTACGAACTTAGTGTAAATACGACTGTAATGTATCTGAAATATAGCTTTTGTTGTTGCACAAGGCTCTTACCTCAGTCTCTCTTCTAAGTGTTTCAGAGTGCTCTGTGATAAATTTTTAAAGTAAATTTGTAGATAGGCTTGCGTCTTGATGGCTTTATTTCAAGTTGACTCTCCCTTTTGGTTGGTTTTTTTTGTTTTTTTTATGGAGTCGAAGTTGATGAGAGTGAAATCTTCGACCTTCAGAAGTCATTTTATACCACTAGATTCTCGAGGCCAGAGGATGGCAAAAGATACAGGAAGTTGCAAAGCTGGTTGACAAAACGTTTTCTATGTTGATCTCCCATTTGGGCGTTTAGGCTTTTTAGCAGTCCTGTATTTCTTTATTTCGGGCGGAAGTGGCTTTGAAGTTTATCTGAAAAGTCTGTGAATTTAAATCGATATATCTTATACTTTTATTTGCAGCCCCAGCCATCACCAGCAACACAACCACATCAACCTTCACAGTCTCAAATAAATCAGCAAATTCCACCACAGCTGTCAGCACAGCAAGCAGCAACGCAACAACAATACCCGTCTGCCTCGCAGTTTCAGCAAGGTGGCACTATGCCTGGCATGCTTGCCAAGTTCCAGCCCCAAAACGTGCCACCTCCCCCGTGGCAGGCCCAGCAGGCTGCTCCACAGCAGACACATGCTGGTGCTGCAGTGTCACAGCATGGCCTTGCTCCGGTACAACAGCAGCCAGGGGGTAACCTCCAACAGCCACCTGGTGCAATCCCACAGCAACTGCAGGGACAGTACCAAATGCAGCCGAGTTCTATCCAGGTGACTCTCTAACTTTTCATTGAACTGATATTCACAAAATTTGTCTTGTCCCTGCCCAAAGAGACAAGATGCCTTTCTTTCTTTATACTTTTACGCATTTTGTTCAATGGTATTTATTTATTTCTAACAAAGGCCATATGGCGTTGTAAAGTCCTTTCAGATGTTGATTTATTTTCTTCGAAATTATTAGGCTTCAAATAGCAATAGATGCCCATTTCTCTCTCTCTTTTTTGCTTGAATTAAACACTATTGTAAGGTGTTGGTGCCAGAAGGCGTTTTCTCCTTTCATGAAAATTGTTACAAATGTCGGGCACTGATTTTTTGCGGTTTTAAGATCTCCTTATTTTGTTTGCATTTGTTTCAGCCGGCAATGCCTGTTGCCAGCGGTTTTCAGCAGCCTAACAACATGCAACAACCGTGGCCTGTTCAGCATAAAGAAATGCCACCTCAGCGTCCAGCTGACAACCAGTTATTGAGTTCGCGTCATGTCGGGTTGGGTGGAGTCGCTCCGTTGCCAACTGTCGGCCAACAGCAACAGCAGCAGCGAGTAGAGTCACAATTCCCAGGGCAACGCACGCAGCAGATGCAACAATTCCAACAGCCACTACAACAGCAGCAACAACAACATTCTTTGCAGCAACAGCATTCTGTTGGTAGCTATGGTAATAGGGTTTGCCTTGCTTCTATTTAGAAGTTTATCTTGTTCTGTCTCTATGGAAATATGTATCCATTTTTATTCTTGCAATTACTTACTGTATTCTTCTACGATCGATAGTCTTTTGGACTAGCCACATCTAAATAAACCTGTCTTTGATTCGGCCATTGAATACCCAATATCTAAATTGACTGGATTTAATTTAGTTAGCCAACGTATGTAAAGTTCTTGTTAAAGGCAATCCATGATTCCATACTTGAGTAATTCAAAGCATCAGCAGTTTTGTTTTGCAAGAGGCACATCATCTTACTTTAACTTGACCTCGATGACGTTCAATTAATCACAAAACGACCGTATTGTTTTTTTGATGCTGCTAAACGTTTCTTTTCCTGCACAATTAAAAATAAGAAAAACTGACCTTAGAACTGCATCCTTTCTTTCGTTTTTTAGCTTTCCAACAGCAACCACTTCATTCAAAGAACGCCCCACAACAAGGTGGTGCGCAGGTCGTGGGACATATTGGAGGGCCGCAACAACAGCAACAGCAGCAGCAGCCAGGACCTGCCTCGCAAAGTTCTCTGGTATGTATTGATTTGTTAGGATGCTTCGTCTCTGCGATTCAGACTATTGACATTAAATTGCATTTCATTTCACGTATATACAAGTGTCCAAAACATTTTACTATATCGCCACTGTTTTGTGGGTTTGGTTTTGATATATTCGTATACTCCTATGTTCTTATATTCTTATATTCTTATATGCCAAATGCTGGGTTGAAGCTTAATGTGCCCTTTCAGGCCCCCTCCGGGATGAATTGGATGTACCCAGTGACGCAAGCAGCCAACAGTGAAAGGCCTCAACACTTTGCTAAACCTGTTCTGTACACATCTTCCAGTGTAAGTATTAGCTGATCTTGGCTGGTTGCTGTGCGGGGTTCGGTTCAGCTTGATTCAATCAATTGCCGCTTTTTGTCAATCAATTGCCGCTTTTTGTCAATCAATTGCCGCTTTTTGTCAATCAATTAAGAAATGGGATCTATCTTGTGTTTTTTAAGCCGATGAGATCCGCAATTTCATTTATTCATGTTTCTATGACTTTTACTATTTTTTTGCTTCATTTTAAATTATTTACAAAAAATAAAGCAACTTTTTACTTATTCTGTCTACTAGCTAATTATTGAATCATCTATACACACTTCTTCTATCATCTTTAAATCTTCTCAATTTTTGGAAATCTTGAATTTGATTTTTTTTATTTTTTGAGTTTGAAATTTTATTTTGGAGATTTATTTTAATTTTAGTTTTTACTCCTATTCAATGTTATATTTGTTTATTATTTTTCACGTATCTAGCCTTATTTGTAACTTACTTTAAATTTTTTAAGCCTTTCAAGCTTTTCTGAAAATACAAAAATTACTGTGCATGACCATTCCATTGCAGTGCAGGAAATGTTGTGTCTTATATTAAGCAGTATCTCGACCACTTTCTCGTTGATATCCTTTTATTTTATTTATTTTTTTATATCTTTTATAGTCTGGAATGCAAAATATTCATATATATTTTATTCATTTACTAATTTTTTTCTATTTTGTTTAACACTTAATTCTCCTCTCATGCTGTTTTGTTTCCCATCTAATCTTTTAAAAGTTTACTGCTCTCTCACCATTTGTCATACCATTAGTTAACGATATTGTCATTCCTATTACGTCACGGGGAATCGTTTCAAGATGGCGCCGGTGCAGCCCCTCATAGCGCAAACTGACATTTGTACATCAAAAATTAAATTCTTGTGAGGATTTCAATTCTTATTTTCAATTGAGAGAAAGAATTCAAAATTGAGTTTTGAATAAAAAAGGATTAAAGTAGAAACCTCGTTAGAAATTCCTAAAGTTTGAGTCGACATAAGATCGACATAAGATAGAAGCCGAAGAATTTTCTCAAAGACTCGAGTAAAAATTTCAATAATCATTTCCTCTCAAATTATTGTACATAATTGGGACTGTTAAAAAAGATATCTTCTTTTCAAATACTCTCGATTGGTTGAGTTTTTTCTTTTTGTTTCTTTGTTTTTGAGTTAATAAATGTATATTTCTTTATCATTTATTATTCATTGTTATTTTCTTCTTATAATATAATTATAAGGCTCTTTAAGTTTTTTTGACTTGTGCGCATGCTACCTTGGAGGTCGTGCTCGGATGCCCTAAGAATGATTGTCATAGGCCAGTTGTTGAACGAGGATTGTCAGTGATGCCAATAGTCAAGCTAGGTTGCCTATTTCCAAAATGGCGCCCTTTGTTAGTTTTTGCAGTTTGAATTGGTGAGTCGATTCCATTCTTGATTCCTCAGGCACCACGTGACCCGGCTGGAGGTAAACGGCAGGACGATCCAAAGCCAGTGTTGGCGTCTCATAAAAGGCCACGATACTAGTTGAAAGACATAAGTACTTTTTATTAGCAAACGTAAAGCAGTGAGATGTTGTTTCGAAGTATGATACGATTTTGAGAATGATTTTATCCAAGGGAGCTAGCTGATTTAAAACAAGAAACATTTGGCTCCAAAGAAAGCTGAACTTGTCCTTACGGAACTGTCTATAATGGCGGCATTAAAACGGCGGCAGTAATTATTGACTCAGTCAAGTTGCCAATAAACGTGTATTGAAAATCGCATGACTGTTATTTCAAATGTCATTTTAAGCTCTTTTATTGCAATTTTATGTTTTGTTTCTGTTATTATTGCTGCCTTCGTGTTGTTTAGTCCTTTTTCATGGACAGTAAAAGTACATCTTCAAAAGACAATCTTGATGGACTCGATGGAAAACCCGAGACTCGGATTTTGGAACGATGGAAAACCCCTTCATCATCTGGTACCACCCAGGAAGGCTCCTTTAGCTGAAAGACGGCTTCTTTAGTATTCAAAAATTGCGAATGCTGCCGTGTCTATTTTTATTTTGATATCACACTGGAAACTACGTTTGGTTTATTATTTTTATTTATTATTTAATCAGTTGGTGGGTCCTCGTTTCTCTTGATAACTCTAATGAGCGTTAAGATAAAACGATTAAGTATCCAAGATTATTAAAGTGACGATGCAGGGAAGCTCGTTTCGATTGTATCCAATGCATTTTCATGTTTCTTGCAACTTAAGCTTTTTTTCATTCAAATGTTTTTTTCGTTTTATCCTTAATTGCAGTGCTGCTTATATGTACGTACTTGACCAATGAAATTAACTGATATATCTCTTTAATAAATCATATTTTTATTTTTCCGTTCCAGTGTAAAATAATACGTAGACAGCTATCCCATTTGACAAATTCCAGCTTTCTAGACTTCCTTGTTTGTGCTTTTTTTCTTTGTCTGTCCATCAGTCTTTCATTCGCTGATTTATATTTTCCTTATATTCTTCATCCTTCTGATGTTTTCCTCTTTCTAATATTTCAAGTCGCCCATTTTTTTTGCTTTCCAGTGTCTATACCTCATTTTTGTTTTTTTGGCGTTTTTCCTTCTGTTGATATTCTTTTTATTTATAGTCTGCGTAACCAGATATTCTGTCCTGCGAAAGCTTTTTTTTTAAAAAAATTGTCAAAATCTCCCATAACGTTTAGACTTTTTATTTGAAAACCCTCTAAACTTATTATAGAGACACTGCAACTTTTCTTAGTGAAGGATCAGTACATGTTTGCTCAAATTATTTCGTTAATCATTCCCTCGATTTTGAAATATTCTTTCTTGATTTTATTTTTACAAACATTTTTTTGGTTTATTATTGTTTCGGGTTTTTACCCGCATTTGACTTACAAACCATTCAGATTTTTTATTATTTTTACTACGCTGTCACAAGTAGGCCTTATTTCTCACTATCTTGCATTTTTCATTTTTCTACTCGGTCAATTCCAATAGGCGCTAAGTTGTTTCCTGTGTTGGTACCAGTGATGAAGGTTTATTTAACATTGTAATAGTTTTATTTTTATTCAATATTTTCTGTAGTTTGTATCACTTGTAGGGTAAGATGCCAACTGAACCTCGGCTGGTAAATTGATTTATGTATCCCTGTTTTACCCGTCATTTGTTTTTACCATGTAATCACCATTAGTTGTCATTTGTTCTTTCCTGCTCGAAAAGTCTCTGACTAGATTTGACTTTCCGTACACATATAATGCGCGCTTCTTTTGCGTTCAGTCGTTCAATATGCTTGCCATTCGTTGTCATTTGTTTTTCCTGCTCGTAAGTCTTTGACAATATTGGACTTTCCATACGCGTGTGACTCGCGCTTCTCTCGCGTTTAGTCGTTCTTTATGACTGTTACCCAGTCATTGAACGAAAATGCACATGGCGGAAAGGCTTCTAGTAGAAAGGCTTTAATATCAACTGAAGACAAGTAACAGATGTGATGATAATTCCTGAGCAGGAACTGAAGAATTTGTTGCTTTCTTCTCTTTCCTAAATGGCATACGATTCGATTCATTCTTCAGTTTCCATTTTATCCTATTATTCATGTAAAATTATCTTCATTCTCGCTTTCTCTTTTCACTTTCTCTTTTCGCACAATCGCAGTCTTTTTCCATGTTGTTCTTTCTTTCATCACATAAACTTTAAAATGTTCACCCTTAAGTTCTGATTTTACCTGTATTTGCCCATGCAAAGAAGCACAGAAAAAACAGCATAAACTTTAAAATTTTCACCCTTAAGTTCTGATTTTACCTGTATTTGCCCATGCAAAGAAGCACAGAAAAAACAGCAAATATTTAAAATTTTGAAAGTTTTGAAACATTAGGAAATGTTGTCGGGCAAATAATTTTAAAATTGTGTTTTAGGGACACGTTTCTTTGATTCTAGAAAAATAGTCATTGGCAATTTTTTTTGCCTGGAAAAAAACCGTTCATTCTGACATGAAATTATGGGATGACCCCTTTGCAAGGACGACCATTTGCTTTAGAATTAAACTAAGGTAATGGACTGAGAAGCCTTATCTGTCAATTCATACTCTCCGAATGAAAATAAATACCAGGAAAGTGAAGTTGATAAAAGCTGGTTTTCATTTAATGTATTTCAACGTATTTCGTCGCAAGTCAGAGTCTACGATCAATTCAGGATGTTTCCGTTATATGAAATTATGTCTGCCAACTATTTGCAAGATTACAGCCATCGGCCAGAAAAGCACTTTCGTATATGCATGATCAAACATTGACACCCTTTGAATGCTTTCGTTGGTACTCTTTCAGTTCAAAGGCGAAATCTGTAAGCAAAAACGCTTTAACCCTTCTCTCGGTCGATATTCCTCCTTTTTCTGAAAACGTAATTGTAAGCACCGGAATAATCCATTGGCGAATCTTTGGAAATTTAAAAGATTGTATTACATTGCTTGTAGAACGAAAGAATCGCAAATCAATATTAAAAAGCCTGCAGCCCAAAAGAGAGTATTGTGGATCGTGTTAATCGTCAGATCCACTAACAATTATTTGAAAGGAACCTTCATGTGAAGCATTCTTAAAATAATTCCGGTAGTTTGACGAGACTTGGTCAGCACTGATATTCTTGGTCAGCACAGCAAAATAAGTATTGTTCCAGGTCACGAGCTGCACTTTGTGCGAAAACAAATAATCGGTACGGATTTTACAAGACCAAAAGGGAAGAACGAAATTAAAAAAAGATACTAATCCATTTTTGTTTGCCTTGCATGGCATACCAATTTTTCATCCTGTTTTGTATCTTCATCTAAACTGTGGGAAGCAGTGCTTCCCTTATGGAAATGGCCAGAACAGATTTTCTATGGTCTATTATTGTTTTCAATGGGCATCTGGTGTTTCTGGGCTTTTTATTTTGAAGAAGATTTTTTCAAACTGTTAGAAAACGTTGATAAACGGAAGGGGTGGAAAATATATAACAAGATATCAAAAATCT